TTTGGGGCTTAACATATGGTCTATTCTGGAAAATGTTCCACGTGCACTGGAAAAGAATATATATTGTACTGTTGTTCTATATATGTCTATGAGGTCAAGTTCATTGGTTGGATTTAGTTCTTTTGTGTCTTTGTTGAGTTTCTTTGTAGTTGCTCTGTCCTTCATTGAAAGTGGAGCATTAAAATCTCCTATTATTACTGTAGAGTTGTCTATTTCTTTCTTCATTTCTGTTGGAGTTTCGTTTATGTATTTGAGGCTCATTCATTGGAAGCATAGACATTGGCCCTTTAATCATTATATAATGTCCTTCTTTGTCTCTTATGATGGTTTTTTTTGTGTGTGTATGTGTGCCTTAAAGTCTATTTTATCATAAATTAATATTGCCACAGCTGCTTTCTTTTGATTGCCATTAGTTTGATATGCTTTTTTCCATTCTGTGATATTAGCCTATTTTGATCTTTGTGTGTAAGATGTGTATTTTGTAGACTGCATATTGATGAATGCTATTTTAGTCATTTTAAATGAACAATCTGGTGACGTTAATTACACTCACCATGGTGTACCACCTCAACCTTGACTTCTGCAATCTAAGACTTATTGAATCTTAGAACCACAGTCTGTAACTTAATAATAAAAATAATAATGCTAATTTGGAAACACACAAAAGACAAAGATTAGTAAAACAGTTGTGGCATTCAAGCCATGGTTATTAAGAAATAAAACCTTGTCAACTGAGTTAAATCTCCTGAGAGAGCCTCCCCCTGTCCCTCCCACGTCCTCTCTTGTAGAAGCCCTCATGTTTCTAAATTTGTTTTTTAACATTTTATTGTAAATTGAGTGAAGGTTTACAGAGCAGATCAATTTTACATTCAACAAATTATGTACTTTGCTTCATTACATGTTTGCAGCCCCTTCCATGTATCAACAGTTAACAACATTTACCTGTATTCATTTAACTCTTACATTCCTCACTATGTCTCCTGCTACCTTTATCTTTCCTCTGCTAACCTCCCTCTTGTTGTGTATTGTCTGTTCTGTCACCTATATCCAAATATACCTGCCCTCTAGCCCACAAAAAACTTCCCCTCTCAAAACCATCATAGATTGTTTCTGTTTGTTTGAACAATTATATCATTCGCAGTTTCAAAGTAAAGCGGTGTACACCCTTCCCACCTCCCATTCCAACCCTTTCACTGGGATCAAGACTCTTATTTGAGGAGTGAAGTTTTTAATATGGTTCCATAATTTTTCTTTTGCTTGGATATCGGGGCTTCTTCTGGGTCATAGTTCACCAGCGGCCACAGCTCACCAGGGGACATAGTTCACCTGAAGCTTAGCTTACCCGGGCAGTACATGTTTCTGAATTTGAACCACATAATTTGAGCATTAGAGAAGCAGAAATGTTGAGTGGCTACAAACAGGGACTCCATCAAATAGCATCTCAAAGCTTAGTGTCCCTATCTGTAATGTAAGCATTACACAAAATATGCCAAGTGATTAACACAGTACCTGGTGCAAAGGAGGGCTTGCTAAGTGGTTGTAATTACTAATACCACACCTTAGAACCACAGCCTCTTAGGTTCATAAAAGTTTGAGTTCAAACGGAGTATAGGGAATGCTGAATCCAGCCTTCCTCCCTCATTTTTGGGATACTATAACTGAGACCCCACCACACGTCTGTCAGTTTGTCGTACTGTGGTGGTTTGTGAGTTGCTGTAATTCTGGAAGCTATGCCACCGATATTTTAAATACCAGCAGGGTCACCCATGGTAGACAGGTTTCAGATGAGCTTCCAGACAAAGACAGACTAGAAAGAAGGAGTGACAAACTACTTCCGAATATTTAGTCACTGAAAACCTTATGAATAGCAAAGAAACACTGTCAGATATAGTGCCAGAAAATGAGCCCCTCGGGTTGGAAGGCACTCAAAAGGTGACTGGGAAAGAGCTGCCTCCTCAAAGTAGAGTTGACCATGATGACATGAATGGAGTAAAGTCCCTGGGAGTAAAGTCGGCAGGACCTTCATTTGCTGATGGGGCACAAGTCAAAATGAAGAGAAACAACTGTAAACATCCATTGATAATTGGAACATGGAATGTATGAAGTATTAATCTAGGAAAATTGGAAATTGTCAAAAATTAAATGGAACGCATAAACATCGATATCATTAGTGATCTGAAATGGACTGGTATTGGCCATTTTGAATCTGACAACCACATGGTTTACTATGCCGGGAATGACAATTTGAAGAGGAATGGTGTTGCATTCATTGTCAAAAAGAACATATCCAGATCAGTCATAAGGTACAATGCTGTCTGTGATAGGATAATATCCTGTGCTTTATTGACAATGCAAAGGCTTTCGATTGTGTGGACCATGACAAGCTATGGACAACATTGTGAAGTATGAGAATTCCTGAACACTTAACTGTGCTCATGAGGAATCTGTACCTGGACCAAGAGGTAGTTGTTCGAACAGAACATGGGAACACTGAACGGTTTAAAATTAAGAAAGTTGTGCAACAAGGTTGTATTCTTTCACCATACTTATTCTACCTGTTTGCTGAGCAAATAATCCGAGAAGCTGGGTTCTATGAAGAAAAACGTGGCATCAGGATTGGAGGAAGACTCAGTAACAACCTGTGATATGCTACAACCTTGCTTGCTGAAAGTGTAAAAGACTTAAAACATTTACTGATGAAGATCAAAAACATAGCCTTCGCTATGGATTGCATCTCAATGTAAAGAAAACAAAAGTCCTCACCACTGGACCAATAAACAACATTTTTATCAATGGAGAAAAAATTGAAGTTGTCAAGGACTTCATTCTTCTTGGATCAATTATCAACACTCATGGAAGCAGCAGTCAAGAAATCAAACAACGTATTGCATTAGGCAAATCTGCTGCACAAGACCTTTTTAAAGTGTTGAAGAACAAAGATATCAGCTTGAAGACTAAGGTGCGCCTGACCCAAGCCATAATTTCAATAACCTCATATGCATGTGAAATCTGGACAGGACAGGAAGACCATAGAAGAATTGATACTTTTGAGTTACGGTATTGGAGGAGAATATTGAAAGTGCCATGGGCTGCCAAAAGAACCAACAGATCTGTGTTGGAAGAATTGCAGCCAGAGTGCTCCTTGGAGGCCTAGATGGCCAAACTTCATCTCTCATACTTCGGACAAATTTTCAAGAGGGACCAGTTGCTGGAGAAGGGATATCATATTTGCTAAGGTGGAGTGTCAGAGAAAAAGAGGAAGACTCCCAGCAAGATGGATTTACAAAGTGGCAACATCAATGGGCTCAAGTGTGACAATAGTGAGGTTGGCCCAGGACTGGGCAGTGTTTCTTTCTGCTGTGCATAAGGTCACTATGTGTCGATACTGACTCGATGGCACCTAACAACAACCACAACCACAACTGAGACCAGAAAATTACCTGTTAAATTCATGCAAAAGGACTCTAATCTCAGGGTCAGTAAGTCAAAACTACCAGAGGTTTTGGTGGAGAAAGACAAGGCTTTCTGCTCTTGTAAAGATTTGCAGCCTCTGAAACCCTATACAAGGTTGCTATCAGAGAAGACGAGGAAGACCCCCCAACAAGATGGATTGGCACAGTGGCAGAATCAATGGGCTCATATGTAGCGATGATTGTGAGGTTGGCCCAGGATTGGCAGTGTTTAGTTCTGTTGTTCATAGGGTCGCTATGACTTGATAGCGCCTATCAACAACAATGAGTCAGAATTGACTCCATGGCACATAACCAACCTCATGCAAGGGTGAACAACCCCTTTCTGTACCCACTTATCTATGGGTGAGAGGAGAGACAAACAAAGGCATTTTTCGCTTCATAGTGATTTCCTGTCTAGAATGGACATTTGCCTGTTTCTTGAACCATTCAAAGAGCCTTGTGAATTCTATGGTCTGCCTAGAAACAAGTGATGAGGGCCCTGTGAACCAATGGAAAGGTGCCGGCCTTTGCACCTGCCTGAGGAGTCTCCCTCCCCATCTTGCCCCAGGAAAGCATTTTTGCCAGAGCACGGGTATTTCCAGCTTTGTGGCTTTCACTTCTACTTCTCCCCGGTGGGTGGGCGGAGTGACCTTCTGTGGACAAATCAGATTCCTCCTCAGCACCAACTTCAAGAAGTAAGCTAAGGTTTCAGGGTCTCAGACACACAGACAGCAGCAGCAGCAGCAGCAACAGCAGCAGCAGCAGGAACTGTAGGGAAGACCAGAGGCCAGGATCATGGAAGATCAGCACGACCTTATCTCCAACCATGAGCAGCTGCCCATACTGAGCCAGCGCCCCCGAGGGCAAGAGAGGTAGGTGTGAGCACACTGCAAAGAAACACAAGTGCCCCAAAGGAGCACTGGACCTGAGTCATAGAAGGGGTGGATTCAGGCTCTGCCCCTAACACTGACTTTCTGGGTGACTTTGGGAAAAGTCTCTGACCCTGGTTTCTCTTACTCTTCTAAAATGAGGGGGTTCCTCTAGAGCAGAATTTGGGGATTTCTTTGTAGCATGTACCTCTCTTTTGAAAGCTGGAAGAGTGCCCTGGCTAGACTCTCTCCCTAGATAAAAAGCACCATTTCATACACTGTCACAATGTCCAGCCTGTGAAAGTTGGGCCGTGAACCCTAGACCAGAAACTTTGGATCAGAGTTTGAAATGTTGTAGCTTCCAGATGGAAAAATAGAATTTCTCATGCAACGTGACAAAAGCAGGTCACCATAGAGATGGTTTCTCTTGATTACCATGTATGGCAGGCCGGCATGCTTCTATCAAGGGAGCTATAACTGCAGGTATTCGAAGAATATATGAAAACTCCTGTTATCACAGGAGGGATTGAGAGATGTTGGGAAGGGGTCCACAAAGGAGAGAGGGGCTCTGGCTTGACGTGACGTGAGGTTCCTGTCTCCCCGAGGTGCCTCTGTCTTTTGCAGTAAGAAGCCAACACAGCCATCCACAGGCCCCCAATTCCCAGCTCCAAGATAGCTTTACCCATGTGATTCCCTGAAAAGGTGGGAGGAAAGGAAGAATGCAGAGACCCCAACCCCTACCTTCTCTAATCTCTAAAAAGTTATCTGTGATCTATGGGGATATCCAATCAAATGTGATGTCAGCTGTTGCCAGGCAGAAAGGGATTTGGAAGAGACAACCAGAGAAGTCATGAGGTGCTGGGCTCTGGGGAACCAGGTAAGCAGATGTAGACCATTAGAGCCAGCGGTCTTTCAGAATCTCGGGGAATCCTACAGGAAGGAGTCCAGGTTCTGCTACTGTCCTGTGTGACCGTAGACAAATTACTGCCTCTCTCTAGGTCTCAATTATAATAGAGATATTGATCATGATGCCAGCCCTCCTAATAGGTGTTGTTCACTGTGTATCAAGTACACAATAAGACCTCAGTCGCTGGTAATGACTTATTATTATAATGACTAGTCCTATGTTGATGCATAGCTTCATGCTAAACACACTCCCAGACCTCACAATAATCTGACGACAATAATCCTATGAGGAGGTATCTCTATTTTCCCCGTTTTTATGGAAGAGGAAATTGATGCTCTTATTGGTAAGTGATTTATCCAAGTTATCACAGCTAGTGAATATCAAGTCAGGATTTGAAATCCAGGAAACTCTGAGCTCTGGTTAGAGCTCACTTTACCATCTGACCTCTTGCTAAGAGGTCAAAAAGATCGTACCTTTTTGAGGTACGATCTGCAGAGGTGGGAGGTAGGACATCTCTGACCTCAGACCATCCAGGCAGTTGCAGATCCAAGGTAGGTTCAGTGTTGGCGAAGGATGTCCCCTTGCCAAACTCGTAGTTAATTCTTCCAAAACCAGCCTAACCCACTGTGAGTAGGCCATTCCAGACTTAAACCTGTTTGGAACCTTCCGTGAGCACTTCTGCCTAGCAACATTTGTGTCACTATTTCTGCTGGTTCTGGTTGGTTCCTGACTTTGATTTCTTATTTTATTTATTCAAGAAGGAGGAAGTAGAAAAGAAGAAATAAAGAGAGGGGGTGACAAGGCTTGGCAGCCTTCCAGGGCCAGGAAACAGGTATTCAAGATGCCTAAAGAGGAAGGAAGTCACTTGCTAAAGTTAGCTATTAATCCTGAGAGTAGCAGTAAGTGTTATTTATGAAGGGCTAAGTATGTGCTAGCTACGGAACCAAGAACTTCATCCTCATTATTCTATTTAGTATTAAATCCTATAAGTGTACTTACCCCATTGAGGTTAAGTGGCTTGTCCATGGTCCCAGCTAAAGAAGTGGCAGTCAGGATTCCAATGCAAGTTACTTGGTCTTATCTTCTGCATGATCTCTAAATCCTGCACATTGCTGTTGAATCAAAACCAACTCCGAGAGATCCTCCAGGACAAGTAGAACTGCCCCATGGGATTACAGAAGCAGATTGCCACATCTTTCTCCTGCAAAGCAGGCTTGTGGGTTCTAACTGCTGCCCTTTTGGTTAGCAGCCAAGTGTTTAACCATGGTCCCACCAAGTCTACTTCTAAATTCTTAGGCTTTGTGGCTCTGTAGGATAAGCAGCAGAATGCAAGGTAGGTTTGAACCGCAAGGTCAGTAGTTCAAACTCACCAGCCACTCCTGAGAAACCCTATCCAAGGTTCCTATGAGTTGGAACTGACTTGATGACACTTAACAAGAATAAAAAGAGAATCTGAGCTCCAGATAGGGGCAGGGACTTCTCCAAGTTCACAGTCAGGGTACCCCTGAATCTAGAACTAGGTGTGGGGTTGCCAAAGGGGTGAGCATGTACAGGAAAAGAGACAGGGAGCCAGAAGACTGAAATGAAGACTTGGATGGACTTTTCATCAATTTTAGATGTTAGGCCAGGCCATCCTGTTCCTTAGGAAAGCAAGAAGTAGAATCTGTTTCCCTATTGTGTCCAATTCCCTCCCTCCCTCCATGCATTGTTTCTGCTTCTCTCCCCTTTCAGAATGAATACTTCTCCTTTGGGCTGGATCTTGGCCCCAAAGGCATGGAAGTCTTGGAAGCCAACGAGAGAATGAGCTGTGACGGTGATGTCATGAGTTGCTAGGCAGAGGCGACTCTTGGGGTTTCCTTAACTATCCTTGCCAGTTGGAGTTCATGGGTGGTTCATTTATTTAGTTCAAACACTTGGCTATTGATTGAAAGGTTGAAGGTTTGACACCCTGCAGAAAGACCTGATGATCTATTTCTGAAAAAAATCCAGCATGGAAAATTGAATGGAGCACAGTTCTCCTCTGAGACACATGCTGTCCCTATGAGTTGGCACTGACTCAACAACTGTTCTACTGGTTTTTAGCTTTGTTAGCTGGTGTGGCATTGTAGGATCAGCACTGGACTGCTAACCGCAAGGTCAGTGGTTCAAACCCACCAGCTGCTCCTTGGAAACTCTATATGGGGTTGCTATGAGTCAGAACCAACTTGACACTTAACGACAACGACAACAGTTGCTGTTTGTGCTAGAATTCACTTGACAGTAATAGAATAAGCAGGATGCAGTCTCGTCTTGACAATTTCCAGTGGGGTCCTAGGAGCCCAACTTTGGAGAGGATTAGAGCGGAACTCTCAGGGACCCGAGGCAGAATCCTTACATCCCCTACCTATAACACACAAGTGCATGCACCCCAAAACACATACATCCAAAGCCCACAGCTGCCCAGGATTCCTGGAGTCTGAGGCTCTGGCCATTCCTGAGAGTGAGAGACATTCACCAGCTCACACAGGCAGAGGCATCTACTCTCCAGTCAAAATCCTCTCTGGGGTAGAGGGAACCACAGATACTTCTGTTGTCAGAGTCAGATCTTGTTTCAAAGGAGAAAACCACTCAAACCTAGAATTACTGATATGGCAGGGACCCTTGCAGAGAGTCTGGGACCAGAGTGTGTGCCCTGAGGGGTGGGGGAAGGGAGCTTGGTACTTGTCCAACCTCCCAACCTCTCTTAAAATGTCACAACTCACTTCTCGTTTTCTGGTCTGCTGTTCCATTCCACTTCCCTTTTCTCTTTAAATCTAATTTCACTGCAGAGCAGGAGAATGAAAGCCCTCTTCCCCTTGGGGGTAGCTCTGATCCTTAGGAGTGGTCCTGGGGAGATACTTCATCTTCACCCCTCATCAAAGAGATAGGACTCTGAGGTCTGGAGAGGGCAAAGGACTTATCAGGGTCAAACAGTGCCACTGGCTCTCCCCACCCAGTCCAGGCTGGGACAGCTCCAGATTTCTATCTGGGAGGACTCAGGGAAGCAATGGTTGGGAGTAGGGGCCAGAGGAGTGTCCTCAAATCACATTCCATAATCAGTGTATCAGTCGTGTTCAGAGTATGCGTGTAGGAGGCTTCAGTTCCTTCCATCAACCCCAGCCAGCCACGGGCACAGCTGCCGCTTGATTTCTGCTCTGACCCTATTCCTCCTCCCCCTAACAGCAAGTGCAGCCATGGGGCCCTCTACACTGGCTTCTCCGTCCTAGTGGCTCTGCTCTTGGCAGGCCAGGCCACCACTGCCTACTTCCTGTACCAGCAGCAAGGCAGGCTGGATAAGCTGACGGTCACCTCACAGAATCTGCAGCTGGAGAGCCTACGCATGAAGCTTCCCAAGGGTGTGTGCCCATCCCCACCCTCACCTCTGAGACTCCCATTCCCTCTCCCTCTGGTGGGGAATTGCAGCTCCACCACACTTAGGTTTGAGGTGTCTCCCTATGCACTGGGCACTGGGACCACACTCATGCCCCATGCTCTGTCCCCACAGCACCCAATCCTATGAGCAAGTTACGGGTAGCTACTCCCATGTTGATGCAGGCACTGCCCATGAAAGCCCTGTCCCAGGAGGTAAGGACAATCCTGTGAGGGGGTGGAAGCCTGGGTGGAGGGCAGATGCCAAGGAGAGGGAGAAAGAAGCTGACCTATGAAAAGTATAGGCTGGCAGGGTGTGTCCTGACCAGTGGGAAAGAGTAGGACCTACCTCAGGGAGAAGGATCCCTGGGGTGAGGGAGAAAAAAGCCTCTTGGGACCATCCCTGGGGAGGAGGGACCAAGGATCTATAGTTTACAAAGTGCTTCTCATTTTCCATAGCATCTTCCAGTCCCCACAAATTCTCAAAGCACTTGGTGGGGTGTATCAATAATCTTTCTAAATGGTTCACCAAATTGTTTGCTGTTGACAAAGCCCCGGACAGTAAAGTTTATGCCAGTTTGACCAGTGAGGACATTGAGGGAGGGAAGGTATAGTGACTTGCTCAAGAGCTCAGGTTGGAAGATGGCAAAAATGGACCAGACCCCAGATGCTGGCTCCTGCTCTTCTGGGGCCCTCAGTGTCCTCCTCTGGGGGCCAGTGCTGAGAACCCTCTGTCCCTTCCTTCTACAGTCCATGCAGAACGCCACCAAGTACGGCAACATGACCCAGGATCACGTCATGCACATGCTCCTGGTGAGTAGAGTCATTCAGTTGGCCCTGCTTGCCCACATAGGACCCTGGCCTGACTGTGCTCCAGGCATGGCTCATGGGAGACATCATGCATGTTCACTGGATTGTCAAAGAAACAAAGGACTGGCCGTTAAGTGCTATTTGTAGTCTAGCTTCCGTGCATTTTTTAGATGGAGAAAGTGAGGCCCAACGCCTTGATGTGACATGCTCAGACACTCCTTTCTTCCTTCACAAGCTTTTACTGCATATTCACTCTTCCAGACCCTGTTGAAGGCTCTAGGGTGAGCCACAATGGGGAGTAATTGGATCCAGCCCGATTCCCTGGGGACCTCAGACTAGGATGGGAAATAATGATGATGGAAGTGCAAGGGACCCAGTCTAGTTTGAGGAGGTTAAGGAAGTCTTCCTGGAGGAGGTGAGACCTGAAAGACGAGTAGGAGGAGTCTGAGGGCAACAGTAGTGGGTAATGACAGACTGGCTAGAACCCCAGCCTCCCAACTCTCAGCTGACCCTGGGCTCTTGTATAGCTGAACTGTCCTTATCCTCTCCCCCATCCTCCCATCAAAGCTTAGAAACAGGGCCTAGATTTGGTGCAGTTTGGATTCATCTTGTAGAAGACCAAGCTCATGGACTGCATATGTTACCTTGTCTACTAGAGGGCGCTCTTTTAACCCTCTTTCCTGCCCTGTCATTTGCAGAGGACTGACCCCCTGAAAACGTACCCGCAGCTGAAGGGCAGCTTCCCAGAGAACCTGAAGCATCTTCAGAGAACCATGGAGAGAATGGACTGGAAGGTCAGAACTTTTCCCTTTGTTGGACCCTCTTCCCTGGCAGGGCTGAGAAGTCATTCTCAGGAAACTAGAGGAGGCTCACCATCACTTCCAAAGCCCTGAACACTGTAGAGGGACCACTTGGCAAAGCCTGAGTGTCTCTGTCCACAAAGGCAAAGCCACGCACGACAGGGATTGGCAATGCCCAAAGAGTCTGACACCCCTTCCTACTTGTCCCCTTTGTCCCTATTAGATCTTTGAGAGCTGGATGCATCAGTGGCTCTTGTTTGAAATGAGCAAGAACTCCCTCGAGGACAAGCAGCCTACTGAGGCTCCAACAAAAGGTACAGTGAGAGGGAGCTTTGGGTGTCAGGACCCCGAATCTCCCTCAGACTCTCCTGGAGCTGCGAACATTTGTGCTTTGAGCATTCCCAGATTTGAGGACCACAAGGACCTGCCCTCCCCTCCCCCCTTCTCAATTCTCACTTCCTGTCTCTCCTGCCTGTTTTTTCTGGCTGGGCTGCTCCCAGGCTCCACCTTGCCTAGGGGTCTGTAGTTTCACACCAGGAGGGCCGTGTGCACAGAGGCATCCCTTTAGGTCTCCCCTGTAGAGGATGATTATGTCAGGGGCCCCAGAGCAAAACAAGTCAAAACACCCTGGAACCAACAGAATGGCCTTTGCTGCCCTTCCTGTAGTCCATAATTTCCTGTGACCTCCCCAAGATCACAGCCAGTGAGTGCCTGGACAAGAGGGTCTTGAAGTTTTAAGACCTTGGTGCTGTAGGATAAACACTGGACCACAAGGTCAGTTTGAACTTTAAGGTTGGTAGTTCAAACTCACTAGCTGCACCTTGGAAACCCTATACAGCGTTGCTACGAGTCCAAACCGACTCAATGAAACTTAACATTTAAACCAGGGCTCCTGGTGTGGCACTATAGGATAAGCACTGGACTGCTAACCACAAGGTCAGCAGTTCAAACCCACCAGCCACTCCTCGGAAGCCCTTATGAGCTGGAACTGACTCAATGGTACTTCACCACCGTAACCACATTGAAACCAGGATATTTTAGCGGAGGCCTCGCAGAGGGCTGTTCAGTCATCCTGGTACTGCTTCATTGGTTTTACACCTTGGGTGTCTCTTTCCTCTGCTGGTTTCCTGTAGTGCAAGTTCCCTGCCAGCCTGGCTCTGAGCCTCAGGTTCTCTGTCACACATCATCATACACAGATCTTTAAGTCCAGAAGGCAGTGTAGATGCCATCTCAACCCCCTCCTAAGTGATGCTTGTATCTCATCTATAGCATTCCTAATGGTAAGCCTCACTTCTGTTTGACAACAGGCAGGTCAGACTTACCAATGGGTCCATTGCTTTTCTCTAGAGACCAGAATCACATGCTCTATTCCAAACTTTAATAGGCAATGAGAGTCTCAGAAGAAATTGCCAAGCTCTGAGATGAATTAGCCACACAGTCATCCACTCCCTCTCTGATCTGGACGTCAGTTTTGACATCTGTGCGAGGTTGGGGTGGAGAGAAGGTAGCCACGTGGGCAGAAGACTGTAGGCCCACAGCAGTGGTGTGTGGGTCTCTGGCCTCATTGAGAGCCCAGTCCAGAACCCACTCACCCACTCTGTCTCCACCATGCCTGTCGCTTCAGCACTGACCAAGTGCCAGGAAGAAGTCAGCCGCATCCCTGCTATCCACCCAGGCGTGTTCATGCCCAAATGCGACGAGAACGGCAACTATTTGCCGCTCCAGTGCTTTGGGAGCATCGGCTACTGCTGGTGTGTCTTCCCCAATGGCACCGAGGTCCCCCACACCAGGAGCCGTGGGCGCCATAACTGCAGTGGTAAGCAGTGGCTGCTGTGCCAGCGTCATAGATAGGACTAGGAAGGCTGGTGCAACTGAGGGGCAAGAGGCTCTCTTGAGGATGGCAGCTCTGGGGGGCAGCCAGAGCCCTGCATCCACCCATCTGTCTGTCTGTCATCTGTCCATGTAGTATTTTCCCCCTGGTACGCCTGCATGCATCTATTCATTCATTCATTCGTTTATCCTTTCCCTCCAAACGACTACTTCCTTGCATGCATCCAGGAAGCCTGCAGATCACCCTGTCATTTCATCACCCTCCTTCCTGGGTCTAGCTCCCAAGCCTGCAGTCACACCTCTTGGATGCTCACAGCCTTCCTGCAAGCAGCTTTCCCCCCAGGCACCTGGCAGTGACTAGTTTGGGGACTGCTTATAGGCACTTCCCTGAGGGGTGGGGTAAGGAAATGTTGGGCTGAAGTAACAAATGCACTTGGCTGACACTTTGCAGAGCCACTGGATTTGGAGGACCAGTCCTCCGGGCTGGGTGTGACCAAGCATGAAATGGGTCAAGGTAAGGGCTCCTCTGAGTCAGTGTGTCCCCCAAAACTCAACCTGGGCCGTACTTGCTCTCTGGTGGGTGGGTGCCCAGCATGCATGGCCCTGGGATGCCACTTCACAGAGAGGCAGGGTTGGGGACTGGGAAGGCAGAGACTGCGGATGACCTGACATTCTCCCCCTCCTGCTTCTTTCTGTAGTGCTCATGTGAGACCAGCAGAGGCAGCTTCTGAAACCAGAGTCCCAGGCGCACCTCCCAGCTTCCTGGCTCTCCTCCCCCGTCCAAGCCCTCTTCTTTCCCGTGTGTCCCTCTGCCTCCTGCCCTGGACCTCATCCCATTAGACACCCTGGTGCCTGACTCTCCATCATCGTCTTCAACACATGAGAGCAGTGCAGTGCAGACCATCAACGTGGGAGGGTACTCAGCAGCCACACTGCTCAAAAGAAAGCTAGGCTGACCCTTCCTGACTTCACAGAAGTCCCATGGAGAGGGGCACCCTATTCCCCATCCCAAGCACCTTTGTAGTCATCTCCCTTGACCTCAGCATAAGTCTCCCCTAGGGGATGAGCCGCCCTCTTCCCTTTCCGCAGCACTCAGAAAGTTAGTCCCTCCATCCACTGCCCTGCCTCAGACCCACCAGCCTGCCCTCAGCCTGACTTGTATAAGAATAAAAGGTAGTGAGTAGTACACGCCTGGCTCTGGCTCTTTGTTGGGATCCAGCTACTTATCCCAGGTCACTACTTGGGATGGTGGACCTTAGACCCTCACCCGGGAGAACCCAGTCCAGGGAGCCCTGGCATGAAAGCTGGTGGGCCTGGGGGTGTTGGCTTTGCAGACACTGGTTTTTCATGTTTGGTACATAGCAAACAGGCTCTTAGCCATTCATTCTTCAAGCAGTCTTCACGTTCTCACATTACCATTCTCAAGTCTACACTAACAGTATGCACGTGAGGACGCAAGACTGACAAGGAGCCTCAGTGTGGGGGACAGCAGGTGGGCTGTGGAGACAGGGTGTCCTGCTCTAGCTAAAGTGCCATTCCACTTGGCTCAGCTGGTTGGTGCAGCTCAAAGTGCAGGCCCCTGCTGGCAGATTTCTTGATGTTTCAAGAGCCAAAAATGGACATGCTGCACTGAAATTGCTCCATTTTAAATATAAAGATGTGCTGTGGGTAAACAAAGCCACTTAGGACTTCACTCTGAGCTTCCAACTGAGACTGACTCTCAGGGGCGAAAGGAAAAGCTCCAGATATAAGGTTCCAGTTGGATGCCAACCTGTCTCTCCTGTTTCTAGCAAGGCCATAGCTTTGGTGAGAAAGCTCCATGACTCTGTGTTCCACACAGTTCTGGGCCCAATCATAAGCCACAGGAAAGTGGGCTGTTGGAGTTCTGGGGACAGCTTTCCCTTCCCTTAGTCTACACCCATGTGAACACGCAACCCCCTACAGAGCTTGTTTATCCACTGTTTTGTCTTGTCTTTACTACCACAGGCCTTCCTTACCTGGACGTGACAGTAACTCATGTTTAACTGGTTTTCCTGCTTCTATTGCATCTGCTCACAGATGTTCCCTACCACGTTCATACTCCAAGACACTGCACATATGACAACACTACTCCCTCTGCTCTCAGTTCAAGTCCCAACTTCCCAAAGTGGTTTATAAAGTTCCCTTCCAGCACCCAGAAACCACGACCTTCGGTGGCTTAGATGCCATCATCCCCAGGAGGCGACCTCCCCCACACCTCCACCCTGCTCTGAGCTGCCCTAGTCCTCAGGAGCTTCGCTGCTTTCTGCTGTACGGCTTCCTCCAGGGAAGTGTGCCATAGCCAACCCACTGTCCTGGCGCCTCAACACAGCCAAGTGCAAATTCTGAGTGTTGGTTTGTTCACCTTTAAGTGCCAGCCACACTCTCCTCGCCAAGAATAAATCAACTGCACAGCGCTTGTCCCAGATGCACTGAAACTTGCACCTTTCCTTCAAATCTTTTATTTTCTGAGTTTAAAAACAAAACAAAAAACCTCAAAACTGGGAGAAGCTGACAAAAGGGGATGCAGCCTCGGCATCAGCTGAAGACCAGTGGCTTGGGCTGGGTCACAGGCCTCCTGGGTCTGCAGAGCAAAGTGCTGGGAAGTCCCGGGGCCTTCGGGCATGTTGGGTCTGAGTGGGGAGGGCAAGTCAGTTAAAAAAATATATTTATACTGTACACATCTCTATAAGTGTCCTGTGTCTGCAGAGATGCCTTGTGGGGCTGGGGTTGGGGAGAAGGGAGGCCTCAGATGCTGGCAGACTTCCTCCCCAGCCAGCTTCTCCTCAGGGCTCACTAGCCCAGCCAGCACACTGGGCTACAGGCAGTCTGTTTTCTTCTGGGGACGAAGGGAAGTTAAAATTCAGTTCCAACCCATCTTGGGCAGAGGTCAGAGGTGCAGCGATGGTCACCACTTGGCTAAGAAATTCCTGGGGGAAGAAAGCACATTCCGACATTATAGTTTCCTAATTTCTTTCTCCAAGGAGCCCTGGTAGTGAAGTGGTTACGAGTCTGGGCTGCTAACACCATGATCAGCAGTTTGAAACTACCAGCAGCTCTGCAGGAGAAAGATGAGGCTTTCTGCTCCTGTAAAGATATACGGCCTTGGAAACCCTGTACAGGGTCGCTGTGACTTCACCGCACATAGCCACCACCACCTTCTCTTTCCAGCACGAGAGTAAACCAAACCAGCAGCCAGCATCTCAGTGTGGGAAGAAGTGTTCACTTTCTGTGTCCAGGGGATTGGGCTAAACCCTTTCCTCTACATAGAAGCACAGATCCATCAGAATGGTTTGAGCAAACTGTCTGCCTTCTCAAGAAGACACACCCCAAAGTTACAGATTATAAGACAAAAGGACAAGGACATGCAGTGAGGGTGAGATAGAGCCAGATAGAGCCGTCTGACCTCAAGCCTCCTGCTCACCTACAAACAGGTCCCCTGGCCCAGCATCCGCAATGGGAGTGTTGCATCCACGTCTCCAACACTATTCTAGAGCCTGGCAACACATGAGAGGCCCCATTGCCCTTGAAGAGCGGGACCTCCTCAAGCCCATTTGCTTCCAGGTCACTGTGGAAACTGAGGCTACTCTATCATCTCCACAGGGGACACAGCTGGTTGGTGAGGGTTTTCCAGGCCAGGACGTTACCTGCTGCTCTGCGCCCCTCAGACGATGGGTTCTACCGTTGCCTTCTGTAAGGAGAAAGAGGTGAAAGGCTCTTGTACCTCAAGCCTGTTGTCGCCCAACCATCCCAATTCATGGTGGTTCTCTCTCCTGAGGACTTGACTGGGCACACGGGGGTCCCTGAGGGCAGGTTTGCACCCTGCACCCTCCAGAAAGTAGCCTGGGGTTTTACAGCAGCTTTCCTACACCTAGCTGAGGCCCCTGCTGGTCATGGGAGGACACGTGCATCTCTGTGTAAGAGGCCCTTGTTCAGGTGCCAGCTAAGCAAATGGATATATTTTTTGGAGGGGATCCCCCTCAGCTGGGGACAAACATGCTTCTTCTGACTTGGAAACCTGTAATGACAGGCCTGCCTTCCCCTTCCTCTACCTTGGACAGGGTGGGTTCAGACCTGTGCCTCCTCAGAGCAGTCTCTTGGGGTTGGGGACATCCCTCCTGGGTTATGTCTTCATGTGTGCTGCTCATGAGTGTACCTCTTGAGTAGGAGGGCTTTTCTGCTGTGCCTAGGGTTTAGCTTGACACATATGAGATGGAGCTGACAACGCTGACCCTGGGCGCCAAGTTTGGGTCTCGGCTTCAAATTGGTTCTAAATAGTTCAGTCATGGCCGAGGCAGTGAAATCAGCAAAACAAAATTTGGATGAAGAAGAGTGATGACCAGGTTAAAGTCCAAGAATGGGCAACTCAGTGCTCTCAGTATCCAGAGGTGGAAGATCAGTATACTGCCAGGACCCTGGACAGGACACATTCAAAGCAGCCCTTGGCCGCCAACTTTTGAGCAGGGTGGCACTGTTTGCAACGCAGCCATTCAAGAGATTTAATTACTATGCAATGCGCACAGTGTGCCCTTGTTTTCTGGGGAGGAGATTAAGTCTTTGGCAGGGCACTGACCTGTGATTTTCCCTGTCTCAGTTCACCCAAATTTTACACATTCAGGTCATTCTGGTTTTATTCTGTTGGCCATGACTGACTGGAAAGAACTGGTTTGAAGTCCTGACTTGAGCACCTTTCTGGTCCCACAGAACTTCAAGAAACCACTCTACCTTTTTTTTCTTTTTCTTCTGGGATGGCGAGTTATGATGGTCTTTGGTTGAGGGCTTTTTTGATTTCTTCTTCTTTTCCTTTTTTTCCTTGTCTTTTTTTTCTGAGGAAATAAAGAAGGAGTAAACTTCCTGAACAGCAAGCTAATTAAGTGGTCAGGGCTTTGTTGGGAGATAAAGGGGGTAGACACACAGGGGCAGGGTCCCAGGGACTGCAGAACTCACTCTTCCTGATGCTGGACTTCACACTGTAGTGAGCCACCAAAACACACGCCAGCAGGCCTCCGTGACCACCCACCCTGGCCCAAGAGCAGGGAGGGTCAGCCAAGATGCCCGCTACCCACATGAACCACCTGGACTATGACTATTTGTCCTTAAATTATTTTTTAAAGATCATATTTTATAAGCACACTTTCCATTGTACTATAAATGGAAATCTAGTTGTAACCAGACCAATTTCTATGCACGCCAGCGTCCTGCATGCCCTGCTCTGTAGGTGACCATGTGCTGATGTGCTGGTTCCATGAGTAGGTGCCTTAGGCATCTATCAAATCCCATTCACCTTGGTCATGACACCCAGGAAGGGACTTGGTACTACTACCTGGCTCCACCTACTATGGTTTCCTGCCAACAGAACAGGAATGAATAGCACCTTATACACAGGGCTGGTATGAGGGTGAAATAAGGCACTACTGCATGGCGACCCCTAAGGGGCAGTCTGACAGTTAAGAGGGTGATGGCAGTTCAGTGGTACAATTCTAGCCTGCCACATGGAAGGTTAAGTTCAATTCCCAGGCAATGAACCTCATGTGGTTACAATGGTGCTTCCAGACTAAGATGGACTAGAAGACAGGCCTGGGATTCTACTCTTGAAAAGCAGCCAATGAGGTCTGATCAGCAACCCACCATGGAGATGGCACAGGACTGGGATGTTTTATTCTGCTGTGCACGGGGTTGCCATGAATTAGGGGCTCTCGAGGACATGAGCCACATGACAATTGTGAGGAACAGATGTCTAGAGAGAGGATGGGGCTGGAATTGAGTACCAGCTCTTCTGGTTCCCTGGCCATTCTGCACATAGAGAGCTGGCAGGAGAATGGATTCCTCCAAGATCTGTTGACTTGAGCTGGAGGAGAAGCAGCCATCGTTTCCTGTCCTTGCTGAGGGTAGCCCAACCTTGGACCCTTGAAAGGCCTGAAGCTAAGAGTATGTGGCTTTGGGAGCTCAAAGTGGCCTAGGTCTCTAGAATCCAGTTCTGGCTCTGATGCTGCCCTGGGCAGACCACACCTAACCTGTCCCCCTTTTATACAGGACGTTGAAGACCATGTGTTGGCCAAGGGTCCCTCCTGTCCGTGTGGCATCCAACATCCTTCGATGTAGGAGGAGGGACACCAGTTTTGGGTGGCAGCTACTTACTCTTGTCAGATTTCTTCTCTTTCTTGCTGTTTGGGTTTCCTTGGTCTCCACTCTCTACCTTCATCACTTGTGGACTCCCTTCTGCCTTCTCCCTGACCTCTCGGGAGCCAGGAGACCCCTTCCCCTTCTTCTCTTCATTGTTGCCATCAGCTTTGTCTCTCTTTGATTTTCCCTTGGGAGTCCTCGGGGCCTTTTCTAGAGAAACAGCGCCCTCCCCACCACCCCCGGCCACCAATTTCTTTTTCTTCTTGCTCTTGGGTATCAGGGCAGCCTGCTGGTCTTCTGACAGCTTCCGCTTGACGCCCACTCTGGCCTTCTTGCCGCTCTCCTTGGTGGCACTGGCAGCCTTCTTCTTCTCCTGCTCCAACAGCTCCCCCAGGACCTTCATCACTGACGCCTGCATCTGGGCCTCATTCAGGGGCCAGGGCTCGCTCAGGAGGCGCTGGGCAATGTCGTTCTGCAGAGCCAGTGTTGAAGCTTGGGGGTTCACGGTCCCCTTTTTGGATTTGCGAGGCTTTTGAGGCTTGGTGTCTGAGACAGCTTCGCTTTTGCCTGTAGAAAGAAAATAGGGTCATAGATCTGGGACAGATCCACCTCCTAGTACACAGTACAGATGGGGAAAGCAAGGCCCAGTGGGCACTCTGTCCACACCTTCCCACCCACGTCACATGCCAACGCCATTTCTAATTTAGAGCTCTTTTGTCTTCTCACATGAAAAATTCAAGATGGGGTTAGGGATAGAAAATGACTCCAGGATTCAAGTGAAATGGCCTGAATTCTGTCAACCAAAGGCCGATATGGGAGGGAGATGGCATCATCTAGTGAGGAGATCAGGGTTTACCACCAACTTGTTATGTGACCCTGGCCAGGGCCTGGCCTCTCCTAGAACCTCGAATTCACTGTAAAACCAGGGATTGAATGTACAGTGGGTCCTATATAAATCCCAGACTGTTAATAAGAGTGAAGGTCACCATAGGTGGAATCCTGATCCCCATCCAGAATCTTCTGAGGAGGTAAATTTCCACTTGAAAGGACAAGCAGACTAACCTGGAGTGGCTAGAAGAACAGAAGATACTTCTTGAAAAAAAGACCGGTAGGAAAAATCAAAACAATGGCAGTTCGACTGACTACTACAAGAACAAGCCAAGTTGTCCCCCCAGAGCCATCAAGGCAAGTGGTCAGTTCCCTCAGAGGAAACCCCCTTCCAAGACTAAAACTCAAGGGGAATACATGAGCAGGCATGTGATCTTGTTGCTAACCACGTTGATCACGGATAAGGGAAAAGTGGGAGAAAAACAGCAATGGAGTTGTGAGCTAAGTCCAAACACATTCAATAGAGTCCTGTTAACCTGGACTGAGACCTGGTTGGCCAGCAGTATGACAAGTTCTGAGGACTCCTGGGCCCAGCGACAGAGACATGACCACAGAGGACTAGAGCAGAGTGTGAAGCATCCAGGTGATATGAAGTGTGGGGAGATGCACAAGAAAACCCATACTTGCAGATAGTACCCACTTGACCTGGCTTCAATGGCTGGATGATCAGAACTCAACTAGAATTAGAAAGAAGATGAAAAAAATGGTAATCTGCTACAATTTGATGAGCTTGACCTATGCTTGTGGATGCAATTGGTCAAAGAAGGGAACAAATCTTTACAGTGAGGATCATTCCTACCCCTTGGTACACAGGGTCAACAAGGATGGGCAACTTAGACATTGTTGCTGTTGTTAAGTGCCGTTGAATTGATTCCGACCCATAGCGACCCTGAATAGGGTTTCCGAGGAGCAGCTGGTGAGCGTGAACCGCTGACCTTGCAGTTTTAAACAGCTTTGCAGTCTGGCGCATTAACTCACAACGCCACAAAAATGGGGGGCTACAAAGGCAAGAAGTGATTGGCTTACAAGCTTTCAATAGGGAACCCAGTTCCAGAGGGTGTGGGGAGAGCTGGAATCTCCAGTGAGTGGTTTCCAACCAGTCTGGATGGGGCTGATGAAAGGAGATGGGGATAAGACTCTTGCAGTTCAATAGCGAATAATCACTATCAGGACTGACTGTGAGTTGGGAAGGTAAAGGGTAGATGTTTTGCAACAAAAGGAGGAGAGTGGTTGATTTTGCAGTCCAGGAGCAGAGGTTCCTGGGACCATCAAGGGAGGAAAGCAGAGTGTGGGACCCTATCCAGAAAAGCAGTGACTCCAGAGATGGAGGCAGAGACGATGACATGGAGAGATGGAGCAGCTAGGGACTCTAGATTCAGGGAAGGAGGGGGGCTGTGTGCTGACAGCCGGGGGCAGGCTTGCGGGTTGTACCCTCTGGTTGTTTGATGATGCATGGAAGGGATTGTAATCATTGCAATGAAACAGAATAAGACAGGATGTACATAAAGCTAATGCTCTCCCATGTAAACGATCACATGATTCACAATAAAAACTTAAAAAAGAAAAACCGTGGAGGTCATGCAGCCTCTTGGCTCAGTCACTTCTTGGTCCAGGGTTCAGGCTGCTTTAGTGAGGACACTGGGTGCGGTGCATATGCATGTGGCACCAACAAAGCAGGTCACCGCCTGCCAGAGCGACTCTGGGTGCAGCCTTTTGTTTAGAATTTTCCACGCCTCTGCGCTTCTGGTAATTGTGTGCTGACTACACATGTATAAAAAAACCTTCCACAGCCCCCTCTAAACTGTCTCTCTGTTGCACCCGCCTCTCACAGAAAGGAGACCTGGGGTGTCAGTAACCTGGCACAGGGCATGTTGCTGTAGAAGCCCACAGACTGGGCTGGGACTGCGGATAGTGGCCAATGCCACCGCCTCCCTAGGTAACCTGGGAGACTTCTTCATGCCCTGCAGTATGCTACAGGTCCTGGCCACAGCTGTGGTGGGCTCAGTGAGGTGGGCCAGGCAGCCTTGTTCTTGTGGGCGAGACCCACATCTGTTCTTAGGCAATTCTTCGCAGGGGCAGCAGAGCTCAGCTCAACCATCAGCTAGGAAGAAATGCTGCCTTTCCTTCACAGGCCACAGGGCACTGCTTCCGCTAATGCAGGGGTCCCCAGCATCCTTCAGGGCTGGGATAACCTCTGACTTCTAGGCCAGGCTACAGAGTCAGACCCCTGCAGGTGGGCTCCACATACACTTTGATGATCACCACAGGTATGATGCAGAGGTGTAAGGCACCACTCAGAGAGGTCCCAGTAGCAGACAGGATCATGGTGGGAGGAATGTCTCTCTGTTACCTGCTATGTCCTTCCTGTGACCCCTGACTCACCTGTTTTAGGTGACAGGATGGCAACTGCTTGCTGGGGTTCTGTCTCCAGTTTGCTGTCCAGGGCATCTCTGGTAGCCACAGTGGAGGAAGCTGAGGGGCTGGGGGCTGGCCTGGGAGTGGCCTTTGAAGTCTGGGAATTGGCCAGGTTTGACCCAGGGGTCACAACAGAACCTGAGAGGAGAGACTGAAGAAGCCCAATGTGAAAGAGTTCTAGACCCTGACCCATCAAGACCCCAGAGCAGGTAGGCACAAGGCCCAGGCAGAACCGGCCGGCATAGCAGCCCCTTGCACTAGGTTAATTATACACATTTGAGACAGAAACAGCGAACAGAGATGGAAAATCACTAGCACTTGCCGTGTACAGACGACAATCTAGCAGGAAATCCCACTTGTTAAAATAAGAAGAACATTCTCATTTTAGCAGTAGCTAAAATCAAGGCTAGCCCTTTCTGCAGGCTGAAATGGGGCCACATCTAGGGAACCAGGGCCATACTGGTGCCTTGTAGACAGGAATTCGTCCACTAGGAACCCATGTCCAGACCCCCGACTAGGGGATGACCTCGGCCCAAGAACACACTGGGTGGATGGAGCTTTCTACCCACTTCTCTCACGACCTCTCTTGCGGTTACCTGGGAAGGTTCCACCACCTCATCTGCACTGGACTCTGTGGTCTCTTCCACCAAGGTCTCCTGCCTGGAGGGCCTGGGACCTACTGGAGAAGCACAGGCAATGTGTCCAGGGTGGCCAAACTGAGGCCCAGTGTGGAATGATTAGCCCACGTCTCAGAGCAAGTGGAGGGGAAAACTGAAGTTGGAGCCCAGGGCTCCAGCATTTTCTGTCACATTCTCCCTCCTGGAAACCTCACCTGGCCTGGGTGTCGATTTGGCCACCTGGACCCCCTGCACATCTTGCTCACTCCCAGAACTGTCACTGCTGTCCTCACTGTCATCTGACGATGTCTTAGAGGTCTTGGCTTTAGGGTGACCCGTGGGAGTGGCTGTGGTCAGCAGGGCCTCAGGGAGCTTGGGGGTTTTGAGCTTGTTGGTCCCTCTGGCTTGGACGGGGCTGCCCTGGGCGCTCAGAACAGGGGACTTTCCTAGAGCCTAATTGGTGAAAGGAGACAGAAAAATCAGGGCCAAGAAGACCTGGTGTTTAGTCAGCACTTCAGTCAGGGTCAGACACTGTGACAGGCACATCACGCACACACACAGCTTCACCTGGCCTCTCTCACAGCCCTCTAAAATGGGCCTTGTTATTCCTTCTTAGACTTGGAACTGAGGTCATAGGGCCGGTGAGTGGTGCACTAGGATGAAGCCCACGCCTGTGTTCTCCCTCCCCATAGTGTACATCTGGGGACAGGTCCAGGGAGGACCACAGCCTCACCTCGGAAGCAGAGCTGGTGGTCTCAGTCCCCCATTCACTCTTTCCCACCATGGACCTGACTGGTCTGCAAAACTGCCCACTCCCCAAGCTCACCGCACTTAAAGCCTGGGCCCCGGCACCAGGAGGCTGGGCTGCAGTGGCTTTCTGGGCGAGGACCTTCAGTGCAGCCTGGGTCAGTGGGAGAGAGGCTGGGCTTGTCTTTGTCACCTACGCACAGCAAGAGACATCCCTGAGCCACCTGTGTCCCCACCCGGGTCATATCCCAGGGGTGGGATCAGCACAGCAGGAGGACCCAGCACTCAATCTGCAGCATCATCAGCAACAAGCCTGTAAGCTAGAGGCGCTAACAGCATTCCCCATCCTTCTGCTTCCCACCCCAGCTGCAGGCAGAGAGAGAGAACTGAAACATGAAACTGGACATGACTCCTTGTCTAAAACCCCCACTGCCTTCCAATGCAACACCAGGCTCACTATGGCTGCCAGGCCCACATGCTGTGGCCCCTCACTCCCTGTGTGTGCCAGTCCCCGGGCCTAACATGCAATCCTAGTTGGGCCTGTGACCAGCTGCCTCTCCTGCTTCAATGTCACCTCATGGAGGCCCTTCCCACCCATCCTCCCTAAAGCACCACGCAGTGACCACCATGGTGCCTTATGGTTAGGACCCTTGCCTAGGGTCCCTGAGAAAAGGAATTGCCCAAACCTCTGACATGGGAAAGGGCCATGAGGTAGATGGAGCCTGGCCTGGGGTCAGCCTATTATTGTTTCCTTTGAAGCCATCTAGCTCACATGGCGAGTCCTGTATTTGGGTTCTGCTTGGGAACTGAATGAGGACAGGGACCCAGCCTGCCATGTGCTGGCCCTGAGCAGTTTCGGCACCATTTGCTGGCTGAAGGGCCGGATGGTTGCAGGTTTCTGGGGCAGTGACCACAGCCTGGCCACCCTCCCAGTACTCACGCTCGGCTCATCAGAGGCCAGTAAGTGGGTTGTGAACAGCCCTTCTGAGCTGGGGGGTGCCTGACTCCCCCTTCAGCTGTCACCAGCTCCCCTATGGCCACTCAAAAGCAGAGGGGTGGGAAAACAAATATGATGTTACCAAAAGATCTAATCTTTTCTCGGGGGGACTCAGTTTTATCATCTGAACAAGGAGCTATTAATTGGCAAGCTGCAAGACTGGCAGTTACTCTAAGGATGAAAGATGGGGCTGTCTGCTCCCATAAAGATGTACAGCCTCAGAAACCCCAGGAAGCAGTTCTACTCTGTCCTGCAGAGGTGCTGTTGAGTTGGAATCCGCTCAACAGCAGTGGGTTTTGTTTGGCTTTGAGACTCAGGCAGGGACCAAATAAACCTGCACTGAAATCGGTGAGGGTGGGGAACAATGCTAACGGTCATTATGAATATCTAAAAGGACAACATTTGTTTTGGGCATTTCAAATCAGAAGGGGAGAAAAATCCCATGAGAAGTCTGATTGTGTTGGGAAACCGAGAAGGTCAAGGACGCTGTGTTCCTGATCGCACTTCATACAACTCAAACAGAAGGGTCACCTCAGGGTGGGTGGCTGAGGACAACACACCAAACGCCAATCCAATAGTGCGCTGAGGGAGAGGTCCTACCCCCGGGTACCTGAGTGGCTGCTGCCTTCTGCTGCTTGCCTTCGGTCACCCCTCTGGACTCCTGGCTGCTGCTGGCCACACCACTACTGGCTCTGGGGGCTGTCGCTGGACGGGCAGTGGGCACAACGGTGTTTCTAATGACTGAGATGGAGCGGGGAGGGGACGTGTCAGGGCACAGAAGCCCCAGTGATAACTTGTCAGCCCTTCCTAGGGCCTGGTACTGTGCTCAGTGCTACCACCAGCTCGTTTTACAGAGAGAAAGCCAAGGTCCAGGGCAACCAGACAGCTGCTGGCACTGAGATTCAGGCTTTCTCCTCACCCTCACCCTCCATGCAATCAATCCCCTCCTGGCTGGACAGGCTGAAGCTCCTGAATTTAGAGCAGTCCCTGGGGAGAATCATCATGGCCACATGCAGAGGCTCAGATCTGGGTGGTCATTAACAGTAAGGAACACCACTCAGCTGCTTCCAAAAGGGTGCCAATCAACTAGGGTCTGCCCCCACTGCAAACGTGCCACAACCAAAACAGTGCTCACAACACAGCAACTCAACACCACGGAACCCCATGACAGCATGAGCTTACTTCAGAAACACATGGATGCCAGCAAGCTTCCAAAAGGTCACGGAACACTTTATAGTTATCTTTTCATTCCACTTCCCAACAACTTTTTGAAGCCCGTCCCATGTACACACATTAGATTTCTGTTAAAGTTAAATAGCTCTGAAACGCTAACAGTAGTTACTCTAGGTAATAGAATTACAGGTGATTTGTGTGTGTGAATATATTGTCTCACCAAGATCAGGTGCTATTTCCGGTAATATTAACCACTTTCCTACTAATGTAAATGAAATCAGAACCTATCAAAGCAAGCCCAGATTGGATCTGGTCTTATTTCTCAGTGATACAAGTAATCCTCTCCTATGCTGTCTCTGCATAGGGAAGACCTAACCCCCTTTACATGCCACCAGTGATGGCAAGCTCATTACCACCCTGACAGCCACTCCACATTCAGCTCTTAGACTATGAAGAAACCTAGTCCCTGCAGCTTTCAGCTACTGATCAGGGTTCCTCCCTTGGAAACCCCCACAAAGAAGTCCTGCGAAATGTTCCTCCATTAGAGTATGATGACAGAGTGCAGGCCCAGAGACCTGGCCCAAGCCCCTCCAGGCTGGCAACTTGCTGAGTGACTCAGTTCAGGGCCGTGCTCACCAGGAGGAGTGGCGCACTGGGTAGCGGGGATCACGTCCTCATCCTCGCTCTCGGAGGAGGAGCTCCTGGCTGTGTTCTCTGAGGCCTGGGCCTTCCTGGAGGTGCTGGAAGCCTGGGCTGGCGTAAGGGTAGCAGCTGGGCCAGCTGGACTACGATTAGGGTCGACAAAAATCAGAGGGGGTTTAATCACCTTGAAAAACAAAAACAAAACACACCCCCCACTGATTAAAGACTTGGCCAGGGAAGGGGAGGTGAGAGTGAGGGAAGGTTTTATAAGGCAAAGGGACCAGCTGCCCGGGGCACTCCCAGGCCTCTCCCATGCCACCTACCCACCAACCCCAGCACATCACTCCACAGCTCACAAGGTCTCATCTACCCGTACAGCGAACCCCCAAATCAGCAGCCCCGCAACAGTTCTGCTACACAGACGGAGAACCAGAATTCCTGGGAGGGGAGAGTGGTCCAAGCTCACACAGCCCCGTGGAAGTGGAGGCAGGGCCAGAACTCCTTATTCTGCTGTCTCCTCTGTGGACTTCAGAGACAGATACTGCTGAGCAAACCCGCTCCAAATACTTTCCCACCTTGATTGGTGCTGATACGGATTCACCCAAGCAACTGCTACCAACCAAACTACCCCACTTGTTTTGTTTTTTAAATTAAATACACAGCAAGTTTCCCTTTGACAAATTTCCACAGATTTATCAATGACATTAGTCACATTTTCACATGAATTGTGCTCTGGTTGTTCCATTTCTAGTAGTCTAGTTTCCTTGCCCTTCCTTATCATCTTTGCTTTGGATTAAATGTTGACCTTTTGGACTGCCACAGATCTAATGGGTTATATCCCTTGTGTCTCACTCTGCTTGTCTGTCAGAAGTGAGCTCAGGGGAGACAGCTGGTTCCAGGTTTAATGAGTGTACCAGGGCAATAGTCTCAGGAAGTCCTCTGGTCTCAGGTTAGCCCAGCCTTTTCAAGGAATCTGTTCTGCAATTTCCTCCCATTCAAACCAGGATCATCTATTATGCTGATCCAGGATGCCGACCCCAGTGACTCGGACCCAGTTTCTTCAAATAAATGAGCTGCAGGGGGGCCAGGTAAGGATGAGTAAGAACAACAAGCTAACAGGGTTAGGAGACTAATTACCCAAGGCACTGTGTGACCCTTATTTGGATTCCGATTTGAAAACATCCAAGTATAAAAAGCAGCATCTAAGAAAGTGTCAGGGAAATGGGGACATGAACTAGGTAATTGACATGCAGAAATCACTTGTGTTTTTTTTAAGATGTAATGTTGTAATGTAGTTATGCTTTGCAAAACAAACAAAAACAAGGGTTCCCCTCATTCAGGACTGCACACAGAAATCTGAGTGGATTTGAGGACAGCCCTGGGACGGTCATCAAAGTAACCATGAGGTGCTGGGGACCGAGTTGGGGGTTTGGATGAAACGGGCCTGGTCATGGGCTGTTAACTGTTGAGGCTGGTCTGGTAAATGGGGTTTGCTATATTTTCCTATCTTTGGGTAGGTTTTCAATTTTCCAATAAAACATTACAAGAAAAAGCATCAGCAGAAACTCCCTGGAATCCTATTCAACAGGCCAGTGGGAAGTCGGCTCCAGGGCCTGTGTTTCCTTTACCCTTACAGAAAGCCCAGCTAACAATAAGAGCTGGGAGGGCACACTCTAGTCACCAGTGCCAGAGCTGGTGGCGAGGTCTGCTCCCTCTCTGGCCAGTGGGGAAACGTGGGGCCAGAAAATAAGGGTGCTGCCCAAGGTCAATAAAAGTAGGGGCAGAAATGGATCCCAGGTCTCTGTCCCTGCATTGTCCTGTCCACTTCCTGCCTCCGTGCCCACTCCGGGGTGAGGAATAGATGGAAGTAAATCAGCAGGGAAAGGAAAGGTGTTCACTCGAGAGTGGGGGCTCTGCTGGGCTCAGGCCCTTCCTAGCCTTGTCAAACCGCCTCCCCCGCGGCTGCTCTGCTCTGCCACTTCCAGAGCCTGCCTTCCCGTGTGATGAAAGAGAAGGATGGAAAGTGGGAGAACGCTTACAGTACAGTTGGGGTGGTGGTGGTGGGGAATCTATATATATGTGAGAAGACAGAGGAACAGATTGTTGGGGATGAAGAGAGGCAATGAAGCCACCGAGGCAAACAATAGCGTCTCAGGCTGTTAAAAGCAGCTCGGCAGCAAATGCCGCCTCCTCCTAACTCCACCTGCCCACGCTACCCCACCCTGGCTGTGGGGCCCACCAAAGAACATTGTTCAGGGCAGGAGTGCAGAGTTTAAAAAGTCAGGCTGTGCTGCCCAAACGAGTGGGGGACCCACTCTGATCCCACCCTCACCATGCTGTCACTGCTCAAGCCCCTGAACTCTGTGAGCCTCAGTTTCCCCAGCTGAATGGAGCACTGGCAATCCCAGCCTGGCCCCACTCATTGCAGGGGTTCTGGTGGAAGCCGTAAAGCACACTACACACAGGATGCCGAGGGACGGCTTCCTTCTGGGACAAGTTATTAAACTGACCTCCTGAGACTGAAATGGCAAAACCATCTCATCACCCGGACAACGTTGAGCAGGGCAGCCCCAGAACCTAGGGATCCCATTCTGCCTGCAGAGCCCAGCATCTCAGAATCAACCCTGGGGGCCTTCCAGACAGTGTCCACCACCCACTGTTCCAGCTAAGCTCAGCACAGAACCCAAACCGAAAAGAACCAAATCCACTGCCATCAAATCTATTCCAACTGATAGCGACCTTATATCATTTCTGAGACTGTAAAACTTTATGGGAGCAGACAGCTTCATCTTTCTCCTGTGGAGCGGCTGGTGGGTTTGAACTGCTGACCTCTGGTTAGCAGCCCAGTCATCCTACAGCCAACACCATATTCTTCAAATCCAGCACAACCTTGCCCTGATTACAGCAAGTCTGGGCAGTGAGGCTGCGGGGCTGCTGACCCTGGGCAAGGCACTCAGTCCAAAGGCACCCAAGGTGACAGCGCTTCCAAGGACAGGACTTCCCCAAGACTCTCTTATAGTCAGTCGCCTGTTGCCAAGTGTCACTGAATTGATTCTGACCTGCAGCACCCCTGTACATGGTCTCTGACCTTACAGCTAGCATCCCAGGGCTTAGCCTACAGCACCACACCAGGACTCCTGACCTGGGGCTGGTTAGTAGGCAGAGGGCTGAGGAATTAGCCCCAGGGATCTCTGTACACTAGGCTTGAGAACCCTTCTCTAGCTCCTGCCACCAGACACAAGTGCCCTCACAGGGCTGCAAGTGACCTTTCCAGCCACCAGATAGGAGCTCCTCCCAGGGCCAACCATGCTGGGCCCCTGACTTGATACCCTCAGTTCATCTCATAGGAGACCCTTCTTTTCTGACTCACTTGGAAGCTCTGTGGGCAGGGCCTATGTCCTTTTCATTTGGTACCCACCCCAGAACCTGGCCTAACAGATCAGCATGAACAGACAGAGCCCCTGAAGTGTCTCTCAGCACAGGAGGGTGAGCTCCATTCTGCCAGTACAGAGACTGAGACAAAGGCAGGGGCCTGAGAATGGAGCCCAAATCCCCTTCCCTACCTCCCGGTCTGGGACTTTGCCCACCACCCTGGAATCGATGGGCAAATAATAAAAAAAAGAGACTGAAACCCATCAGTAGACAAGTGCTCAGTAAATGCCTAATAACGGTAATAATCATAATTAGTGAGCTGGGGATTAAGGAGCTAAGAATCCCCCCACTAGATGGAGGCTCAGCGCCCCCAGGCTTCCCTGAGTCTTCCTTGGGAACGCACACACTGTGACTTTCTTCTTTTCAAATAGGGACTCCAGAATCTTCAGGACTAACGTACCAATTAAATGGTTCAATTTAAGCATGATGTTCATTTTAATTGTGTTAGAACACCCCCGCAGGGAAAGGCGAAGCAGCCCCCTCCCCCACTGCTGTTTAGATCCTGCTCGGAGAGGACTCCACAAAGAAGATTCCACAGAGAGGGTGAGGCCCAAGCCCTGCTTGCTTGTTTTCTCCTCCAGGGGAGAAAATCTCTGGTGTCAGAGTGTGGTCTGCCTGGGTTCACACACCACCTCTGGCACGTGTGGTGCTGAGGCACTTCTCTCATGTCCTCATGATGAGAAGAACAAACAAGTCTAATTCACAAAGGGCTGCTGTGAGCGTGGAACAGAATAATAGCTGCCATTCAGTGACCAGTGTCAGCTCGCTTATTCATGATCATTTCTGTAACTGGTGCAACTGAGAAGGAGTCCTAGTGGAACAAGGCACATGGCACGTGGCTGCTAACTGAAAGGTTGGTGGTTTGAATCCACCAGCAGCTTCACAGGTGATTTACTCCCATGAAGATCAGTCCAGGAAATCTTAAGGAGTGGTGCTACCCCATCATATGAGGGGGCTTCAAAAAAAGTCTGTGGGATGAGGGAATTAAGAGATAATGAAAATGTCCCACAAACTTTCTGAAGTCCTCTTGTATAATGTTGCTACGAGGAGGAATTGACTCGATGGCAATGGGAATGTGTTTTGTTTTGGTGTTACATTAGTTAAATGGTCAGCTGCTGGTTGAAACACCAACCCCCCACTAGGAGGAAGATGCATCAGCTTGATTCCACCAAGATTGTTGTTGTTGTAATGTGCCGTGGAGTTGGTTCCGACTCATAGTGACCCTGTACAGGGTTTCAGAGGCTGTAAATCTTTACGGGAGCAGAAAGCCTCATCCTTCTCTAGCGGAACAGCAGGTAGTTTCTATCTGCTGACCTTCAAGTTCGCAGCCCGATTCATAACCACTAAGGTACTCAGTCCCAAATTGCAAACGGGACATACAAAGAGCCAGGGGCCAGTGTTTGTGCCCTTTCTCAGCCACTTTGGAGTCGTTAAGAAAGTGGGAAAACCACTTCAACACTTAGGTGCTTGATTCTTGTCAACTGGGCAACACTGCCTGTTCTCCAGTCATGCGTACTGGGCAGGGGACCACGCACATAGGAGAAGAATCACTCACTCCCATTTTACAACAAAAACACCCAAACCTCAGAACGGCTACAGTGTCTGATCAGGGTCATGGAGCTGGGACTTTGCAAGGCTCTCTGGCTCTGAAGCCTGTTATGCTCTATCTCTCATCTAGCGGGGTTACTGCAAAAAGGGATGACTCAAATACAGATGTGCTCTGGAAACCAAAGTGTTGTCTAAATGGAAGGGGGGCCCACTGACCCAGGCATGGCCTACCTGGCCTGAGGGCAGCTCCTCCTCACTGCTCTCTGAGGACCCTTCTGTGCTCTCCTCCGGGGGTTCTGGGGCCAGGGTCTTGATTTTGGCAGGTTTGCAGTTACTCTCCTTCTGTGGGGACAAGATCTGAATAAACACATGGGCATGTATGAGGGGAGCACAGCTGAGGGACCAGGGAGTGAGTCTACAGTGTGTACCAGTCAGCCAGCCATGGTCCTTGAGGGCCCCGGCTCATCCTTCCTGAACAGAGGCAGCTACTGGCCTGGCAGACCTCAGACTCCCTAGAACACACAGGCCCCCACCCCCGTTCCACCCCCTTCAGAGCTGACTATGAACTACTAAGGGATGCATGACTCGGATGTAACTAGAACCAGAAGAATGAGTGCTGTTGGCTGGGGGTCTGAAGGAGAGGTGACAGCAGTCCAGGAAAAGGCTGTAGGAGTGAGCTCAAAGCTGGCTGTGACCCTCCTGGCTAATAGCACCCAATGGCTGCCAGCCTTGGTGAGAGGAGTCCCTACAAACTATTAACATTCTTGACTGCTAACCAAAAGGCTGAATGCGTCAGTCCACCCAGAGGCACCTTAGAAGAAAGGTTTGGTGATCTACTTCTCAAAAACCAGCCACTGAAAACCCTATGGCTCACAGTTCTACTCTGGCACATGAGTGGGTGTCTTGAGTTGGTTGGTGTTGGCTTGACGGCAGCTGGTTTTTCGGTTTGGTGGAACTGCAGTCAGGGGCCAGAGTAGGACTTGGGGAGCAAGGAGGTGGCACTGGGCAGCCCCAAGCTTTCCTACCTTTCACTATGTAGCTCCACCCAGAAAAGTGGGACCCAGGGTGCCCAAGCCTTCCATTTCTCAAGAAAAGCTGTAAGGTTCTGATTTGTATGTGCCATTTCCCAATGTTTAAACAGGAGTCACAGGGTACACTGCTGACTTGTCCCCAGCAGCAACACTGCCATGTCTTCCTTGTCAAATCAGCTACTACATGCTTCAGGGAAGGTGGTCTCTTCTTGTAGCCAAGTAAGAATGTCAAGCCCTTCCCTCACTGACTGGCTTTGCAGGGAAATCTGGTGCCCTAAGGAGACCTACAGGGATTGCCTAGCTACGAAATGAGATGATGCAATCTTGCTTGCTGAAAGTGAAGAGGACTGAAAATACTTACTGATGAAGCTCAAAGACCACAGCCTTCAGTATGGATTACACCTCAATGTAAGAAAACAAAAAATCCTCACTGCTGGACCAATAAATAACATCACGATAAATCGAGAAAAAAATTCCACTATCAACCCTCATAGAAGCAGCAGTCAAGAACTCAGATGACGTATTACACTAGCCAAATCTGCTGACAAGACCTCTGCAAAGTGTTCAAGAGCGAAGATGTCAAGTTTGAGGACTAGGGTGGGTATGCCTGACCCAAGCCATGGTACTTTCATTAGCCTGATATGCATGTGAACGTTGGACAACAAACAAGTGAAGCCATAGAAGAATTGAGGCATTTGAGTTATAGTGTTGGAGAAGAACACTACAGGTACCATGGACTGCCAGAAGAACAAACAAATCTGTGCTAGAAGCAGCACATCAGAATGCTTTTTAGAAGCCAGGATGGTGACATGTCTCTCATGCTTTGGACATCAGTCCCCGAAGAAGGACATCAAACCTAGTGAAGTGGAGGGTCATGGAAAAAGAGGAAAACACCCAAAGAGATGAATTGCCAGAGTGGTAGCAACAACGGGCTCAAGCGTAACAATCTGAGGATGGTGCAGTATTAAACAGTGTTTTCTTCTGTTGTGCATAGCGTCGCTATGGGTCAGAACCAACTCCATGGCGATTAACAACAACAACAACTAAGAACCACTACCGCCCTCCTGGTAAAACACAAAGGTAGAAGAAATCTGAGTCACCAAAGGTACTGAGCTGCTGAATTAGCCACCTCTACCTGGCCTGCCAAAAGAACAAACAGATCTGTATTGGAAGAAGTGCAGCTAGAGTGCTCCTTGGAGGTCAGGAGGGCCAAACTTCGTCTCTCATACTTTGGACATATTGTCAGGAGGGACCAGCTGCTGGAAAAGGATATCGTGTTTGGTAAGGTGGAGAAAAAGAGGAAGACCCCCTCTTCACCAGTGACCTGGATTGGCAAAATGGCAGCATCCATGGGCTTAAGCGTGGTAACAATTGTGAGGTTAGCCGAGGATCAGGCAGTGTTTCATTCTGTTGTACACAGGGTCACTATGAGTCATTACTGACATGATGGCACCTAACAACAACAGCAACGTCACTCTGGGGCTTCTTGCACTGAGAAGCAGCCAATCCCCTTACTATCCAAACTCTTTTTGAACCTTTTTTCCCCCCTGCAGGCTAGGACATCCTGATAAAGCAACCAATTTGATAGTTAAAAAACTAATATGCAGGCTAAAACACAGTTGGGGACTCTTGTGCCCCTAGTCAGGCACAATGTTACTAGCCAACACCTTGTGACAAAGTGTTACATGACGGCTGGCCTTCACTGAGCCCACACCTTGTACACACTGCTCCTTGGGAAGACCTTTTTCCACACTTGTGTCTGATCAACACCTGGTCTTCCTTCTAGCTCAGTGCTACCACCCCCTCTTCTGCCCTCTCATTCCCTTTGGTCAGAACATGACCGGAATTTTCTGCAGAAATGAAGCCACCTGTGTTGTCCTACAGTCTCTACTCTATGAGTAAGATAGCATGTTGTGCAGCTGTTGGCTTACTGAGACAAAGGCAGGGGTTAGTCCTGGGCCAGCCTCTGCTCACAGTACTGACCTAAGAGAGGGTGCGGTGTGACACTGGGTCTCCAGCTCCTCTTTAAGAAAAGGGAGACCTGGTCACATTGAGCTGTACTTGCACAAGGTCATGATCAGCTGCCCTTCCAGATGGGGCACGGGCTCTCCAGTTTGTTTTAGCTGCTATCGCTCCCTACGGTCTCTGACACCAAGGCTGAATGTCAGTGGCCACAGATCTCCACCTGGCTTGTGTCAACCATCCCCACTTCATGCAGAGCTTGGTAAGTACTAGCATTTGTCACCCTGAACGTTTGCAGGGCACAGCCACCACACTGCCCTCAGCCAACAGAGGGAAAATGAGCTGATCAAAAATGGCTTCTCACTCCTTCTCCTTCCATGCCCTGGAGTCCAGTCTTCACAACTAATCAGGTGAGCCCTCCCTTGGGAGCGGCAGCTGACCAGGTGAAGGATGGGCCTCAGTACCTGCACCACAGATGGAGCCTCCTCGTCACCCCCTGGCCGTGACACCTTCGGATTCTTGGCCTTGGTGGGAGTTGTTGGCGTAGCCTTCCAGGGGGCTGGGGTGTCTGTTCGTGGTGTGGTAGTTTTGGTAGACACAGGAGTGCCTAAGACGCCTTTCATCAGGGGGGCTTTGTTTTGGGGGGTTTTCACAACAGGTGTCACCTAAGAAAACATGGAGGACAGTAGCTGGGAGAAAAGATGGTGTAGTCTGTCCCTACTTGGCCTGACCCCACATTTTGATCAAGAGGTGCTGGTGGCTGGAGCCAGTCAGGATTAGCTGCCTCCTAAGTAGGCCTCACCTGGGCAGGTGTCCCAGTCGCAGGGGTGTCCTCCTCACTGTCCGACTCCTCGCTGCTGCTTTCCGAGTCCTCGGGTTTCCCTTCCTGGACTGCTGCAGGCCCCGTCTTTGCCACAGGTGCCGGGGCAGCCCCTTTCCCTGGGGACCCCTTGGTGGAGGATGAGGCAGCTTTGACATGGTGGGCTTTCCCTGAGGGCTTTGCCTAGTGGGAGAGAATGAGGCAAGAAGTCCAGACGAAGTGTGTGATGGGGTAAAGGTGTGTGAACTGTGGGCAGGCCTGAGGCCGGCCTAGGACTCCTGGCACAGAGGTGGAAATTCAGGGCTGCCCTCTGCCCCTCTCCTGGGCTGCTGCCCCCTCCTCCCGGGACTCCCTGACTGTTTCCGTCTTGGCCTGAGCTCCTGCAGCCACTGCCTTCCCGGTAGCTGGCACAGACGCCTGGCCCCGCACCGAGACAGTGCTGCTTTGGGAACTTCTGGCTGGCGGCTTTCCCCGAATTGTGAGGAGACAACGTTATTGGAGAAGGCAGCAGAAAGCACAGTTCCTCTAAGGCTATGCTCCCACCATGAGGCATGGTTGTGGTGAGGTCACTCCCATTTGTGCAAAACCCTGTCTGATCTGATCATTGCTTGGTCGTCCTCTCGGCATCAACCCTCCTGTACTGTGGGGATCTGGCCTCACTTGCCTTGGCCGGGGACATCAGTTTGGCTTGAACACCTGCAGTGGTCACTTTTCCAGGAGCTGCCCCTTTGACTGAAGACACTTTGGAAGAAGCTGGGGTAGCTTTGGTCTGAGGAGTTTTCACTGAAACCTTCACCTGACAGGAGAAAATGGGATTACGGGAGGAGAAAGGTGAGTGGCAGGAGGGCAGTTAGTCGAGAACACAGAATCTGGAGTCAGAGTGCCAGATTTTAGATTCTGGATTTTCCATTTAATAGTGATTTGAGTCTAAGCAAGTCACGACCTCACAGGCCTGTTTCCTCCTTTGTAAACAGGGAATAATATAAAGCTCATCTACAGGGTTTTCGAGGAGTCCCTGGGTAGTACAAATGATTAAGAGCTCAGCTCCTAACTGAAAAGTTGGTGGTTTGAATCCTCCCAGCGGTAAGGCAGAAGAAAGCCCTAGTGATCTACTTCCAAAAATAATCAAGCATTGAAAACGCATAATATTCAGTTCTACTCTGACACACGCTCACCAGCAGTCACTGTTTCTATTTAATCAACAACATAAAGAAATCTGGGAATTCTTCCAAATATAGAGATTAAACAGCCCCTTCTCTAAATGCTATGTCCAAGAATGAAAATGCATCTTAAAATTCATGGGATGAAGTGAATGCAGTCATTGTTGTTGTTAAGTACTGCTGAGTTGGTTCCGACCCATAGCGACCCTGTATAGGGTTTCCTAGGAGCGGCTGGTGACTCTGCACCACCGACCTTGAGGTTTACACCAATTGTGCAGTCCAGCGCATTAACCCACAGCACCACACCGGGACTCCATGCAGTCATTAGAGGGAATTTATAGCTGAACAAATCAAACCCAAAATAAAGGCAGGAATAATAAAGATCAGGGTGGAAACCAATACACTAGAAAACAGGAAAATGGAGACTAATCAATGAAGTCAAAAGCTGGTTCTTTGAAAAAGCAAAACTGTTAAGTTTCCCACTAACCAAGGAAAAATAAAAGACACAAATTTCAAATGTCAGGAAGGAAGAGCGCCATTGCTTCACACCCTGGCAAAATTAAAATGATAAAAAATACTATGAATAAACTTCATGCTAATAAATTAGGAAACTTAGATGAAACTAATTCCTAAAAAGACACATATTATAAATACTGACCCCAAAATTAAAATTTGAATAGAAAAATATCAATGAAAGGAATTTATTTAGTACCTAAATTTTTCCAGCAACAACAAAAAAAAGCCCAGGCACACATTGCTTCACTGGTGGATGTTATCCAATGTTTAAAGAATTAATAATACTCTTTTCAAAATCAGGAGGAGGGAATACTCCCCAATTCATTTTAGAAGGTCAGCGCTACCAACACATTCAGGCCAGACAGAGATGAAAGAAAACTACAGGTCAGCATTCCTTACAAATGTAGACACATATTTAAAAACAAACTAGTCAGCCAAATCCAGCAACAAATAAAAATAATATACACCATGGTCAAAGAAGTTTATCCTAAGAATTAAACATTGATTTAAAACCCGAAAAAAAAAAAAAAAAATCAATACTATCATATTAATAAAGGCCAAAACCCTTTGTATCATCTCAATAGACACAGAAAATGATTGGACAAAATCTGACTCCCATTCATGATACGAACTCTCAACAAACTAGGGACAGAAGGCATAGTCCTCAAGGTGATAAAGAGCAGCTATGAAAAGCGTACCACTAACTTCATATGCAACAGCATAAGACTGAATGCTACCTGAGATCAGAAAACAAGCAAGGACGTCACTCTCATTGCTACCATTCCGAGATTTTAGTCAGGGCAATGAGGCAGAAAAACAAAAAAAATCCAGATGAGAATGGAAAGAAACTGTCTGTATCTACAGACCTGATCCATATGTAGGATCAGTTAAGGAATCTACACAATCCACTAGGACTAACTGGGAAGTTTAACAAAGTCACAGGGCATAGGACACGAGGTCAGGTCCAGAAGGCACCCCAACATTCATCCGGGCAGTCACCAAACACTGTGTGTCTCATACCCTTCTCACACAGGGGTTGGCTTCTTAAGGCATTCATTTATATCGTGAGTAATCTCTTTCCCAGATTCCTGGCAAATTTGGTTTTCCAAAACTAATCCTGAATGTTTGCTCCAAGTTTTTTATTTGCTTGTTTTCAACCTCAATTCCTAAATGATGATGGTTTACTTTGAGCTGTCCAGGTATCTCTGAGCTGATCACTGACCCCATCTGACTCGCTTTCAACCCCAGTAATGCTGAGCAGTGTGGGATCCATTTTGAGGACGAGGCCATTCAAAGCACTGCTTCATTTAATCCACATCATAATCCCATGACAGGGGCAGAGTTACTACCTTTATTTCAAAGATGGGGACAAGGAAAAGAAGTTGGTCAGCAAGACCCCTCCTATCCTGTGATTGAAAGGCTCTATTTTCTGAAAGGGCATTTGACCCCTAGAGAGGGATCCACAGCTCTACTTTTCACCCAGACAGAAAGTAAGGTCCAAAGGTGTAACCATCTCTGTGGCTGGAGGGTGTTTTGGTCAAGGCAGAAGAAGGAAGTGGGAAAGGCCTACGGGCAGAGTCTCAACTTTGACCCTCACTGGGTGACTGAGTTGAAGCAAATCACCACCAAGCTCCCATATCCCCCTCACCCAAACCAAATCAAATGAATCACCCACCTCCTTATACAGGCTTAGAGGGAAGACAAATATTCAAATGCTCTGCAAAATGAAATCTGGTAAGGGATTGGGTCTAAAACATGCCCATGGCTTAAAGAAAGGGGAGAGGTGCTTGTAGGGACTCAGGAAGGGGTGCCTGCATAATTTAAAACTTCCATAGAGGAATCATAGGCACATGGGTCACATAAGCCAACAGTAAGGGGGGAAAAAAAAAAAAAAAAAAACAACAACCCTAGAAATATGTGCTTTGGTATAGAGGAAAAAAAGAAATGACTAATTTCTGGGTGGTTACTGGAAAAAAAAAGTGACAATTGAAAAAAATAAATAGTGGGTGGATGGGTGCAGTGAGGGAGCTGTCTCCACTTTTCCCAAGCTCGGAGAGCTGACTTGCCTCTTGACAGCTCCACACTGGCCTGGCCCACCTCACGGTGACAGAACTGGATGCACACAGGCCCTGGGCTGGGTTCAACAGGGGAGATCTCAAATTCTCTCCCAACCCTGTAAGGATCGATTTCTAATTTACCGAAGAGAATTTGAGGCAGCGGTGGGTTGCATCACTTGCCTGAAATCAGCTAGGACATGCAGCTGGGACTTGAACCCAGGTGTCTGGCTCCAAACCTTCTCTTGTTCATTCCTATGCTTCACCATCTCCCCAAGTGATTCTACCGTAACGTGCATATGAGTTGCTTGTGGCCACTCACCTGGAGCCAGGTACCTTCCCAACCCCTGGCCTTCACATAAGGCTGGTCTCTCTACCTGGAACATCCTACCCCTCCACTTCACCTGGCCAGCTCTTTCAGCCTAATTTAGATGTCATTTCCTCTAAGTGACCTTCCCCTCAGAAAAGCCTCCAGATGATGGCACTGCTCTGCCAACTCAGGTACACACTCTCCATGTCGAACCACCTGTGTGCATGTCCATACCCCCTTATAGGCTGGGAGCTCTCTGAGGCTAAGGCCACCTCAGTGGAGCTTAAGAGGCCATGAGGGAGACCATGGAGCTCTGATGTGCACAGAGACAGAGAGAAAAGCAGGAAATGAGGCTGTGTTGAAGCTGTCCCTGAGCTTTTGTACTCTGAGGCACGAGCAGACCCCATAAACTCCTCCTCAGCCTTGCCCCTGGCAGTGGGTGCAATGGGCGTCTCCTCCCAGGTCTCACCTGGGCTGGTGTCACAGGCACTAGGGACTCCTCCTCACTGTCTGATTCCTCCTCACTGCTCTCCGAGTCTTCGGTCTCAGTTTTGACCTGGGTGGCCACAAGTCCTGCCTTCCCAGGGGGGACTGGGGTGGTCCTGGGGCCTAAGGGTCCCTTGGTAGGGGCTGAGGCAGCTTTCCCCATAGACTTTACCTGCAATGACGAGAGGAAGAGAGGAGTCTCTCAGGAGCTCAAAGGACCATGTGGGAGCAGACTGGAGGGCAGCTGAGCACCCAGAAAGTCTCACCTGTCCCCCTGTGGCCGCAGCTTCCTCCTCACTCTCTGACTCCTCACTGCTGGAAGGTTCCTCCTCTGGCCTTGGGGCGCCCTTGGCTATAGCTGGGGAGGCTGCGCAAGCTGGAGAAGTTGCTGTTCCTGCTTTCCAGGGGGCTGGGGTACCCACTCTTACTGGGGGGATCTTGGCAGATGTGGGGGTGCTTTTCCTTGGTGAGGACTTGGTATGAGGAGTTTTCAGGGCTGGTTTGGCCTGTGGGGACACAGAAGACAGGCTGGAACAGGAGCCTGGGCTCAGAGCCCTCCCCTATTCGGGCATGGAGCTGCAGTACTGTCCTTAGGAGCCGGGGACTAAGGCACAGGCTGACTGCATGGCAGTGGCTCACCTGAGCCGGGGTCACCTCCTCACTGTCAGACTCCTCCTCGCTGCTCTCGGAGTCTTCCTTGGGCCTCTCAACCTTGACCTGGGTGGTTACCAGTCCTGCCTTCTGAGGAGGCACTGGGGTAGGCCCTTTTGTGGAACCTGAGGCAGGTCGGACCTGGGAGGTTTTTTCCTGGAATGTGAGACACAGGATCAGGGGAAGGAGTCCGCAGGGTGGATGTGCAAAATACTAAACAGCGAAGACAACTAACTGCAGCAGTGTGAAAAGAGGGCAGAGTGCTGGGTTCCTGGTGCCAAGAGGACAGATGAGCTGGCAGGAAGCCTTCCCAGGCGGGCCTCACCTGGGCCGGAGTCACAGCTGCCGGAACCTCCCCCTCATCGTCCGACTCCTCCTCGCTGCTGCTTTCCGAGTCTTCCTCTGGTTTCCCTGTCTGGGTCTGGGGTGCTATGGACCCAGCCTTCCCAAGGGGTACTGGGATGGCCCCTTTCCCTGAAGGCCCCGGGCCCAGGGCTGATGGAGGTCTGAGCAGGAGGTTTTCCCCAGAGGGTTTTACCTGAGATTAACAAAAGGACAGGATCAGGGAATATGTGTGGAGGCCTTAGTGGTGAGGAGAGCACAGTGCTCTCGGCAGAAGAGGGAAGGCCTTTCTAGGCAGGGCACGGGGCCACGCAGGAAGTCCTCCTGCCGCAGCTGAGTCACACTCACCAGTGGGATCCTGGCTGCAGGGGTGTCCTCCTCACTGTCTGACTCTTCCTCACTGCTGCTCTCCGAGTCCTCCTCCAGCTTCTCTGTCTTCCCAGGGGCTGCTAGGGCAGCCCCTTTAACAGGGGACCCCTTCGCAGGGGCTGAAGCCACTCTGGCCTGGAGGGCTTTTCCAGAGGACTTTGCCTGGAGAGAGAAAGACCAAAGAATGGATGTTTGAACAAGAAGAGACCAGAGAGGGTGGGCCCGCAGAGCCAGGGGAAGGTGAAGGGGCAGGGCCCACAGAATGGGAGACACGTCCTCAGCAGACCTTCAGGGGAGGAGTTCTGGATGCTGAAGTTCTCCACACCTGGCCTCACCTGAAGTGGGGTCTTGGCTGTCCGTGTCTCTTCACTGTCCGACTCCTCACTGCTGCTCTCAGAGTCTTGTTCCGGTCTCCCAGCCTTAGCTTGAGTGGCTCCAGTCTTTATTGGGGGCGCTGTGGCAGCCCCTTTCCCAGGGGGCCCTTTGGCAGTGGTGGAGATAACTCTGACCTGGGAAATTTTCTCTGAGGCCTTTACCTAGTGAGAAAGGGCAGTTTGTTCTCCCGCTTCTGAAAATCCTCTGATGATGCCCTACAAAGCTCTCCAGCTTCCTCTCACCTGGTACACTGGTCAACTGGCTGCATTCTGGCTCCTCAAAAATCAATCGGCTTCACACTCTCTCTTGGGCCTTCATATCCACACCCCAGACTTTACCTGCACCTGCCTCCTCATCCTTTGGGTCTCAGTGCAGACCCCACTTCTACATGCTGTGGCCCCAGCACTGGGCTGTTGTCAGCTGGAAACTCACTGCTTCCCACTTGATGCCAACCCCATAGGACAGAGCAGAACTGCTCCCTAGGGTTTCTGAGATTGAACAGTTTCATGGGAGCAGATAATCTTATCTTTCTCCCAAGGAGTGACTGGTGGGTTTGAACTGTTGACCTAATCTACTGTGCCTGTTTTAGAGAAGAGATGGTACAAAAGATCAGAGGGAGGGACCAGAGGTGGTAAAGGGAGGGCAGTCTGTGAAGTGGGGAGGGGGCATGCAGAGGACAAGAGGTCCTTGGAAGCTGGTCCTCAGCATCATAGCCCAGGCCTCCTTACTGCTCTCAGGCTCTGCTCCTGGCTTCAGCAGGGTCACTCACAGCTGCTCTGTCCTGAGTTGATTACCCCAGAACTTGGATCATTCCCCTTCTTAGAACCTTCCTGTGCAGAGGGGTGCAGACTGTTCTAAACATGCTTTGTTTCATTTGTACCTTTTTTTTTGAGCTGATATAGACAAAGTCGATTTTATATCAAAGCCTATGCACATTTTGGTTCTTGAGAAACAAGAGGCCTCACAACACTGGGTAGTCCTTGTTCATGGCAAAATCATGGGAAGGACCTGCATGTTCTGATTTCTAACTCCTGTCTTAGGGCCCTTGCTCTCGCTGTTCACTGCCTGGAATGACGTTTCTCCAAATGGCCATATGGTTTCACCCCTTTTCTCCTTCAGTTCTTTACTCAAATGCCTCCTGAGTAAGGCCTCTATCTTAAACGGCCATACTTATGTCCTTTTCCTCTTTAACATGTCATCCTGCCCTGGCCTCAGTTAACACAGGTTGCCTATCACCCAACGCAGTCTCACTTCTTCCTCCTCTCTGCTCGCTGGTTCCAACAGCTTTTCAGTCCCCCTGGGAGTGGGTGGGGCCCAGCAGATAGACCCTAGCTGGATTCTCTACCTACTCTAGGTCCACTTTGGACCCAAAGCCAAATGACCAGACAATGAAAACAACTTCTACAGCCCATTTGCAACAGGACTGGCTGGGGCGAGATCACCAGCCCATGGTACAGTGAGGAACACTGAGGTAAAGTGTAGTAGTACTGACAAAGCTGGGTGCAGGCTGCCTCCTCTGGGAAGTAGACGAGCTAAGATGGCTGAAGCAAGCTAGCCCAGGTGCTCTTGTTTCTCAGCTTCATCTCTCTCCTCCTCTCAAAACACCAGGCTGAGTCTCCGTCTAGCAGGAGGTGCTCGTTACAGACTCCACCAGCTTCCAGACTGTGGGAGTGCTCCTAGGCACTCTCCCCAGGTCTCACCTGACTGGGAGGCTCCTCCTCGCTGCTTTCTGACTCCTCTTCACTGCTTTCTGATTCCTCTTCAGGCTTCTTGGTCCTGCCGGCTGGGGTTACGGTGTCTCCTCTGACCTGGGCTGTCACAGCCCCTGTCTTCTCAGGGGGCACTGGGGCTGCCGTTCTCCCTGGAGGATTCTTGGAAGGAACAGGCAAGGCTTTGATTGGTGGGGCTTTAGCAGGAGGGGTTTTCACGGGCAGTTTCACCTGCAGCGAGAGGGTGGGAGCAGGGAGCAAGAACTTTTACCTCCTGGTATATGAGGAGCTTCTGTCTACAAAAGCCTTTTCCCACTATCACTTCATTTTCAAACGTTGAGATAAGTTTATACCCATTTGCTAGAAAAGGGCAAGGAGTTCAGAGAGGTTAAATCACTCAAGAGCAAAACTAACGGCAGAGCTATGGTTTGAACCAGGTCTCTGTGTCACTGAGAGAACAACTGACTGCTAGCTCTCCCCTAACCTGGAACCTACAGGATCCATTTCAACCAGGACGGCTTCTCTTGGCTCCTTAAACATGCAAATCATTGGTCATGGTGGGGTGACAGGCAGCTGTGGGGCACAGGCCTGAAGCCCAGGAGTCCAGTCCTCCCCTGACTGCTGAGTTACCGTGGCCCTTTCCTTTCCTAGACTTCTACACTGCGGGCATGGCCAAGGCACTCAGCCCTACACTTCCACTCTGGGTTTCCTCAGCCCCCCACCCTTCCTCAGTGCTATCGGAGCCACCAAAGCTGTATGTGTGACTATGGTCTCTCAGGGACAAGGTGACAGAAGCCAGAGCTAGCCGCGTCTAGGGCCCACAGGTAAGGAAGGAATATAGGGAGCAGCCTGGGACAGATGGGGTAAGGGGCACTAGGGGAAGTGGGAAGTACCCTGGGCACCAGATCAATTCAATCTGGAAGCTGGTTTTCCCCGGGGCAGCCCAGTCTTGGCCACCAGGACCTCCTGCCTCTACTGCTTTAGTGAGCCCCTACACAGTCCTGCTGTGTTCATTCTGCTCTATTCATTCCTTTCAATGCAGGCCACATCAGGAATATTTCTGAAATAGAGTAAATCTGTCTATCTTAACCCTGTGCCTGAAAACCTTCCATGGCTTTTCACAGCCCTCGCCTACCTCTGGGCCTCATCCCCTTGCTAACCAGGGAATGTGTCTTAAAAGCGCCAAACTCTCTTGCTTCCGCCGCTGCCCGTGCCATCCCTTCAACCTGAAACACTTTCTGGTCCGCAACCTCTCCCCATGACGACACCTGTTCCCCGAGGGCAAGCTCATATTACTGTGACTGTCAGCCCTCCATAGTATCCAGCACTGCAGACAACACCCGAGGAACCTCCTTCACTTCCCATGGAAGCAGGAGCCCGCCCATCTTGCTCACACTATATTCCTGAGGCCCAGCACTTGAGAGCTACACAGTAAGACTGGCCCACGGTACCTCTCTCTCATAGGTCACAGGTCAGGATGGAGACAAGACCACACACCAGGAGTCCAGCCCAACTATGACCACACGCAGAGCCTTCTCAGCAGCCTCACCCAGTCACTCCTGGCTCTTCCCTCATGGAATTCCCTTCCTGCCTCTTCCTGGTGAGTGCCACTGTGCTCCCAGCCCCAGTACCCATCTTTCAGGAAGTCTTTCCTGGTCTCAGACAGGACAGCATCCCTTTCCCAGAGCCCGAGGCTTTCTCACTCTCAGAGCACAAAAAGCAGAACCATCTTGTCCCTCTCCTCCTCCCCATTCAGCTGCTCCAGCTCTTGGTCAGCCCCACAGGTCTCTGAGGCCCCAGATACAGGCCTGGTGGGGTCAGAGGCTTGAAGAGGGCAATTCCTGAGGATGGGTGGCAGTTACCTCCACGTCTGTCTCATCACTGGAGCTGGAGGTGTCCTCACTGGAGCTGTCGGCTTGGTCCACCAGCCCTGAGGCATGAACAAGGAGGGGGCTGATGGTCACCCTTTCCACTCGTGCCTGCCCCTCCCTAGCACCTGCTAATCAAAGCCAGATGCTGAGTACTCGCTGCAAATCCACACTCATCTAATCTGAGCTGGGAGCCATCACAGTCCCGGTCCTCCACACCCTTGAGGTCCTGGTATGGGCTCTAGCATTACAAGTCCCAAAACATACGCACCAGCATAGAGAGTCTATCAAATCTTCACTACCCATCACTGAGGGCCAGAGGCAGGCTGGCAAATGCCACGCCTCTCAGTTCAAACTTCAAACGCTCCAACTGCCCACCCAGACTGCTCAAATTCCTTCATCTGGGGACAGAAAAATCACCTGAGACATGGGACCCTCACCATCACATAGCTTAACCTGGAAGCCCTGCTGAAACCTGTTCAACGTCATAGTAACCCAAACCTCTACTGACAAACGAGTGGCAAGGAAAGCAATCTGCTCCACACGAGAAAGATGTGGCAGTCTGCTTCCTCAGAAACCCTACTGGGCAATCCTACTCTGTCCTACAGGGTGGTAATAGTTGGAACCAGTGTGGTTTTCATTTGAAAACCTGTCCCCGCAGCCCAAACCTGGAGGCTTGGCTCACACAGGTGCGGGCTTCTCACCAGACTTGGCAGTGGCTTTGAGAACCGGGACACTGCCCTCCTCCTCAGTTTCTGAGACCAAGGTTGTATTTGCCAAGGGCACTGCCATCTTCTTGGGCGACTTCCCATACAGGATGTGGGCCACTGGCTTCCCGGTGACAGGGTGTGGTATGGAGTTCACCATCTTGCTGGCTTTCTTGGTGTTTGTCTATAGAAAACAAGAGTGACCAACACATCTGAGCATGGCACAGTGGCTCAAGAGTGCACACAGCCCAGTCTAAAACCAGTACTCCCCATGCCCAGTCATGGGAGGTCGGGGAATTTGCTCAGCCTCCCTGAGTCTATTTCCTCATCTTTGAGGTGACGAAACATTGTCCCTCTGCTCAGAGAGGTGTCAAGAGACAGAATTGCTGTTCTTGGGACATGACAGTTGTTTGCTAAGTGGGTAAATCACAGTTTGTTGAGGATATTATCACTACTTCTTAATGACTCTTATATCAGTTCTCGGCTGCACACTGAAAGGTTGGTGATTCAAACCCACCAGGTACTCTGCTGGAGACAGATGTGGCAGTCTGCTTTCTTACAGCATTGGAAATTCTCGGGGACAATTCTACTTTGTTCTATTGGGTAACTAAGAGTCGGAACTGACTCTACAGCAACAGCCCCTCCCCACCCCCACAATATGCCAGCACCCCCATCTTATACAAAAGGAACTCTGGCCCAGAAAAGCAGAAGGATTCACCCAAGACCACACAGCTGATAACAGACTCTTGAGATTTGAATCCAGGTCAAGGGACAGCGTACATAGAGGGAGCCTTTACAAGGTGTAAGCCTGGAAGGCAGCCCTACTCACCTTGGTTGGTTTTTTCATGCTTGATGGCAAATCTGTTCCCACGACTGAGGAGTTGATAGACATGGGTCTTGGGGCTGTAAGACATAAACACTCGCTGGATGAGCCACATGAACATTTCTTATAATAGTCAACAGGTTTCTGCTTCCTTAACAGTTTGATGGAAGTCCTTGGATGGTACAGATTGTTAACATGTTCAGCTGCTGACTAAAAGGCTGGCAGTTTGAGTCCATCTAGACGTGCCTTGGAATGCACCACACAACTCCATGGGCGCCTTTCACTCAGGTTACCAAACCATAGCCCAGAAAGGCACTCAACAGCCAGAGGCCATGAACAGGCAGTCAGCTCCAGGTCCTAAGAGCTGCCCAGCATTTAAACAGGTTCTTAGTGGAGAAGACAGCTGGACCATGAGTCTTGGGCCCAGTTAGACGTTGAGATAGAAGATTTCATGGCTCTAAGGGAAAGGACACATTCTCTTAGAGCTCAGATGAGGAGAGATTTCAAAGGCATACTGTAAATAAGGATATTGACGAGGTGTATGGTATGATCCAATTCTCCTCCCTGCTCCCTTTTGTCATTGTGAACTATTTAAAACATGCTCATAAGTACAGAAACAGTACACAGAGCCATACCGCTTCACTCATTATCAACATATGGCTAATCTAATTACATCTACCTTCTCTCATCCCTCCAATATTCTGAGGGAAATTGCCAGACATCCTATCGTGTTGCCATAAACATTGAAGAAATTCATTCATGTTAGCCAGTAAGTATAAAACTTGTATGCATGGATACATACATGAGGCAGTTTCAGAAAGTTTGCAGAAAACAGAATTAAGAATAGAAAACCTTCCATTTTTCCTCTCTGTACTTCTGTATAGTTCCAAGTTTCTACACTTGTTTTATTTGTAATTAGATTTACTTACAGTGCCCTCATGGAGTCTGGTGTGGCGCTGTGGGTTAATGCGCTAGACTACAAAGCTGTTTGAACTGCAAGGTCGGCGGTTCAAACTCACCAGCTGCTCCTCGGAAACCCTATACAGGGTTGCTATGGGTCGGAATCGACTCGACGGCACTTAACAACAACATAGTGCCCTCCTTTGGATCAGATTAGAGCTTTATTCTATAGGGTTTGCAATGGCTGGTTTGGGAAAAGAACTAGATTGCCAGGTCTTTCTTCTGAAGTGTTTCTGGGTGGCTTCAAACCACAAACCTTTTGGGTTGCAGCATTCAGGGACTCCAATGAATTCTAAACTTATTTCCATCCAAAAATATTATTTTGAAATTAAGAAATTGACTTCTGTGTCAACAAAAATAACACAATACAGAGAAGAGACCACCTCTTGTGTTATGAGTGCTCCTAGGTGAAGCACACAGACCTTGGGAGTCAGTGGTGGCGGTGGGTTGGTGGAGAGAAGGGGCTGAAAAGAGTTTCATCGAATTACCACTGCCAACTCTGAAACCCAAGTGCCTGGTACAGGTCCACTGCTAACTTGTTCACTTCTAAAACCCCCAGGAGATCAGCAACTCAAAGTAGCCCAGAGAGAGAAGAGGTGCCCATCAGCTATCTTCTTGGCTATCTCTCTACCAGTCCTTCTGAAAAGATGATTCTTTCCACCTTCATCAGAAATGGGAACTTATAAACATGCAGCTCTTGTGCCTGGATGGGGGTGAAATCTAGACTATTTGAGGGTCCATGTATCTCACTCAGCCCTAACATGATTCCGCCACACAAATACAGAGATACAGCCTGGGCCGCTTCCCAATCTTTCCCTAAAGATCCTGGCTCTCCCTGGAGGGCTCACTGAAAAAGCTGGAGGAGACTCACTCCTGGAATAGTCCAACTCCACCCCATAGCATCTTCTCAAAAGGAACAGGGCCCTGGGCTGAGCCCCTGCCAGAACCAATGATGGGGCCTGGCTGGAAGGTCTAGGTCCCCTAGCAGCAGCCAGCCTGCACAGTCCTTACCCTTCCTGGCATTGGCAGCCTCCGCTTCTGCAGCCTCCTCCTCATCTTCTGAGCTCTCAGAGGTGCTAATGGGGTCTGACACACGAGTCCTCTTGGCCTGCAGCGCTGCATCATCCTCTGCCTTTCGCTTCTGGCCGATTTCTGAGGTTCTGTGGGGCAAGGGCACCAACTGGGTGACATGACCACTCCAGGGGATTTGAAGAGGAAGACCTCCCCACATCCTCCCACACCCAAAGGAAAAGAGCACAGAGTTTAAACATCAACAGAAATACAATGTAGGTACAATAGTATATTCTGCATTTTTTCTCATTTCATCACGTGTTTTAAAAATCCTTTACAAGTCTTCAAAATAACCACAAATGATAAACAATGTTATGTAACGTATGCAGTAAAATCTTCAAAAGCTGGAACTTAGAAAGGTAGAAACTTTTTGGAGAAGAAAAAGTCAAATATTTTCCAATAAAAGGAGAGAGAAAAAAATGTTAAGACTATATACTCTGTTAGCAGTGGAAAATCAAGGGAGTCCTATTCTGGCTCTCATGAGTTTCACTACAATAGCAGCAGCTCAAAGTAGGTGAGCATGCCATGGCTAATCCCCTTCCTCCTCCAGGCCATGTTTTACATGTCACACCCCGTCCTGGATGCTTCTGCCCTGGTCCTCCTTGTCCGTGGAGGCCCTCCCAATAAATCTCTACCATGGTACCTCGTTTCCTTTGCTTCAGGGTGTTTTCATCTCATGCTATGTCAGTTACTTCCCAGTACACACCACAAAGACGAATGTCAAAGTGACTTTCACAGGATCAGAATAAGTTTGGTCCTGGAGCCCCCTGGGGTTTCTAGCATCGCCTCCCCCAGCCCCTACCCTGAGGGAGCCACCATGTGCACTGCATTCTCTGGCTGGAGCAGAAGCTGCTGTGTCCGAGTCTGGGATGTGCTGCCTGGGTCCCTCGCTCCCAGCAAGGCCACTTGTCAGGAATTTCCTGCTAAAAACAGTTTTCCTTTTTGATGTGTATGGAGTTGTTCTGTTTCTTCTCCCTTACCCAGTAAAATGCAAGTTCCAAAAAGGCAAGGTTGTTCTCAGGTTCGTTCCCAGTTATATCCGCATCTTCTAGAGCAGTGCCTGGCTCATACTAGTACTTATTATATAAATTGTTTAAACCCCACGATGCATCACTATTATCTTTCTAGTGTAGATGAAGATCTGATTCAGGGAGGCCAAGACAGTAGTCGCTGGCAACCACTAGGTTAGGCTGCCTCTGCTGGGTGTAGGGTTCTTGTGGAACCCTTCCCCCTCCTAAGGGGTTAATGACAGGGGAAGGGAGGAGGTGCAGCTGCTTGCTGAAGCATCTCTCGGAGGAAGGAAGTGCGATGAGAGGGAGAGGGCAAGAGAGAGAGGAAGTGCAAGATGTGTCCCACACTCCAAGCTTGACTTAGCAGCAGAGAACCAAACACCCGAGGGCTGGCAGCTCTCTATGACCTTAGGATTCCACTGGTGGTTGCAACTCCTTCCACACTATTCTTAACCTTTGCCCACACACCTTTGATGTAGGGACCCACTACTTCCACTGTAGCCTACTTCATTTGGGGAGCACTGTGGTGATCAACAACTTGTATTTAGAAGCTGAAAGCTATCTTCCTAAAGCAAGTACATATGGGTCCTCCAAGATGTGCAGACAGTGACCCTCAGCCCTTTCACTTGCCTCTCTGCCATCTGGGGCAGTTTAACAGTGCATAGGAGAGAATATGTATTATTACCCTCCTTCAGTCTCAAACCATTCCTCGATTGACCTTGAATTATTTCCCCACTCCTGAAAACTTTTTTTTTTTTTTAAATGTTTTATTGTGAATTATGTGATAGTTTACATGGGGGAGAACATTAGTTTTACAATCATTTCATTGCCATGGTTACAATCCCCTCCATGCATCATCAACCAACCAAAGGGTATACACTACAAGCCTGCCCCCCAGTTGTCAGCACACAGCTCCTCTCCCTCTCTGGGTCTAAAGTCCCCAGCTGCTCCATCTCTCCATGTCATTGTCTCTGCCTCCATCTCAGGTATCACTGCTTCTCTGGGTAGGGTCCCACTCTCCGCTCTTCTCCCTTGATGATCCTAGGGACCTCCGCTCCTTGATTGAAAAGTTAAGCACTTCCCCTCCTTGCTACAAAACGCCTACCTTTACATTTCCAACCCTCTCAATCGGTCTTGATAACAATTATTCACTATTGTATCACAAGAGACCTAACTGCATTTCCTTTCATCAGCCCCGCCTAGACAGATTGGATACTACTCAGTGGAGATTCTACCTTCCTTCACGCCCTCAGGATCTAGGTTCCCTCTTTTTTTTAAAAAAAATTGAACATCACTTTATTGTGCTTTGCAGATACTGCATTTTTTGCAAATTTTACATTTGTGGCAACCCTGCATTGAGAATCTAGGTTCCCTCTTGAAAGCTTGTAAACCAGTCACTTCTTGCCTTTGTAGCCCCTCCTCTTTGGGTAGCCAATGTCCAAGTTGCCCATCCCTGTCTATTCTGTGTATGGAGGGGGTGGGAATGATCCTTGCTGTAAAGATTTGTTCCCTCTTTTGAGCTACTGCATCCATAGGTGTTGGTCAAGCTCATCAAATTGTATCAGATTACTCTTTTTTTCCTCTTCTTTTTTCTTCTGGTCAAGCTCTGATCATGAAGCCAGGTCAAGTGAGTATTATCTGCAAGTGTGGGTGTGCATATGCCTTCTCATCTTATCAGCTGGATGCTTCACTCTCCACTCTAGTCCTCTGTGGCTATGTCACTGACTCTGGGCCCAAGAGTCTTCAGGTCTTGCTATACTGCTGGCTGATCAGATCTCCACCCGGGTTCACAGGAGTCTATTGAATGTTGTTGGGCTTAGCTTGCAGATTCACTGCTGTTTTTCCCTCACTTCCCCTTATTGGTGATGAGCGAGCATGGTCACCAATCAGAGCGTGTATTCCCATTGAGTCTTAGTCTTGGAAGGGGGTTTGCACTGAGGGGACCCGACCACTTGCCTTGATGTCTCCTGGGCAAGCAACTTGCTTGTTCCTGTAGTAACAGTCGGTTTGCCTATACTGAAAACTTTTCTATGTTTCATAGGCACTTCAACTTGACATGTCTTTGATGAACTCTTTGCCTCCAGACTGGTTTCCCTTACAGCTCCATGCAGACTCACCTTCCGGTCAGGTGAACAAGCTAGACACTGGGAGTCAACTTGAACACCTCCCCTACAACCGCCATCCACAGATCTGGTTTCACCGCCTCCACTGTCTGCTTCTCTTCACTGTTATCCCTGTGTCAAGCTGCACTGACTCTTGTCTGAAAGCCATCACAACCCGACCTTCCCTAGGTCAAGACTGTCCTGTCACACCTCACTTCATGTGTACAGCCTCCTAGCCACAAGCACTGATTGTTACCATAGTTCCCACTGCCAGGTGTTCTCCCTCCACCCCACACACCTCTCTACACCTACTGCCGACTTCAGTCCTCTACTTCCTCAGCTCTCAAGTCAAAGGTCACCTAGGAAAGCCTCCTCGCAGCCCCCACACAAGGCCAGACAGACCCATGTAAGTGGTTCTGGTACGAGGTAAAGTTCTTTCTGTAATCCTCATAACTACTGTAACTTTTTTGATTTGTTCTGACTTGCGTCTGCCTCCCCAGTTATAATGTCTGCACCAGGAAAGAAGGAATCCCATCTGCCTCCATCACAGCTTCTCCATACTTAGCAGAGGGCCTGGCATTCGGTTGTGGTTTGTGATTGTTGTTAAGTGCCAATGAATCAGTTCTGACTTACAGTGACCCTTTATAGGATTTCCAAGGTGCGGTTAGTGAGCTTGAACCACCGAATTTGCAGTCTAGAGCATTAACCCGCAGCACTATACCAGAACTCCAGTGGGTGCTCATAAATGTTGATCAAATGAATGACAAGTTGCTGAGAAGTTTCTGTCCTTAACATATTATAACTCTCAAAGCCCCTTGCCACACCCAGATATTGCCCAGAAATACCCATCCTTCTGGGCTTCCCAGGCTATGTTCATAGTGGGCTTGGGGAAACATTTTAGGCCAGGTTAATATCCTGCTTGGGTGTCCCTACTCCACGCCTCCAGACCCCTACTCCCACCAGACTCACTGTTGCCAGTGTGTGTAGATATCCAGAAGGGTAAATGGCTGAGTCGGCAAAGTTTTCTGCAGAGAGATAAAGAGAGAACAGCATTTAACCCCCCAGCACAAGATCCTGGGCGCCACTCTCCCCAAATCTCATGACATGCACAGACAGGTGACTGACAAAGGGATCTTTTTGCTCTGAGAAACATGCCTGTTTAGCCTGGCCAGTACCATCCTAAGTCAGCAACAATCTCAGAGAGGCTGGAGTTGGAATGTTTCAGGCTAGCATTCACCCAGCTCTTGGCCTTTCAGGCATTCGTCACCTTCAGAGGCAGTGAGACAGGGCTTTTCCACCCTGACTTTCTAGGAGCCTTTGGCTGGCGGGTCTCTCCCTGGAGAGTATGAGCCACAGGCATTCCTGTGTCACACCACAGTCTACTGGTGCACTGGGAAGAGGTTGGGCCCAAATGATGCCGGTCTTTTGGTAGAAGCTGCAACCACCAGATGGAATTTGGAGTCAAGGTCAGAATGCTAATTCTCTGAAAATGTCAATCACCATGAATTTCAGGTCCCCTGGTGGTGCTGTAGGATAAGTACGGGACTTATTACAAGGTTGGCAATTCAAAACCCAACAGTTGCTCCATGGGAAAGATGAGGCTTTCTGCTCCCGTAAAGAAATACAGTCTTGGAAACTATTTAGTGTCACTATGAATTGGGAGTCAGCTCAATGTAGTAAATTGAATTTTTTAACTTTTCATTGTGAATGGAGTAAAAGTTTACAGGAAGATCGTCCCTTTTACAGCCAACAAATCACACACTGTTTTATCTGGCAGTGAGTTTTTCAAGAGGCTGAGTGAACAGTGTGGGGTGAGGGCAGGGTAGCCAAGAGTGTGCCCTGGAGTCAGACAGGCCTGGTTTTGAGTCCACCCTACCGTAACACTGAGATAGCAAGTATTCACCTCACTCAGCTCAGACCCAAGCACCAAGGCTCCTCAGGATCTCTTAAGTGCCACTCCCTAACTTCACTGCCACCAGGGGTCTGTTTGGAATGCTCTCTCTTTCTCTGGCTCTAGCTCACTTCCTCATTTCCTTTAGATCTCTGCCCAGAGACCCTTCCTTGACAACCCAACTTAACCCATACCCCAACACTCCTTACCACCCTTGCTGCGTAATGTTTACTTACACCCAGCACCTATCATCACATGCCACACTTGTACCATAACTTAGTTTGCTAGAATGTACTTTTCATTGAGGGCAGAGCATGTGATTGATTGAAGGCCTTCAAAAACCACCATTTTATGATTCTTTCAGGAGTCGCTGAGATAATCAAGGCTCCTCAATCACCAGTTTAAAAAACCTGCTTTTCTGCTTAATACCAAACTAACAAGACCTGTCTGGACCAGTTCCTGCCTCCCTTTGGGACCTCTACTGCCCTGTTCTCTATGCTCCACACACAGGAACTTTTCTTGAAGCCAGTATGTACAAAAACCAGCCCCTTTCTACCACAGAGCAGAGATTTTCCTCCTTCAGATCTCAAATCAACAGTCCCTTCCTCAGGGAAGCAACCGGTCATATACTGTCTTAGCACCCTGTGGTCCTCCTTCCTGGCACGCAATGTAGGGTTGTTTAGTTACTCTGGCGATTTATGTCTGTATTCACTGCTAGACAGTAAGCTCCCTGAGAGCTGGGGTCCCGAGATGAGCCCATTCCATCACTAAAACAAATTAAGTTACTGAATGAAGACAAGACTGCACCACAAATTCTAACCCAAAAGCTGTACGATTCAGCACAACGGCTCTCTAAATGCCTGAGTTCTAGCTCAACTAAGGGGCCCTCTTGGCAGTCTCTAAGGGAGCTAGTCACAAGGATGCCCCTTAAACTCGTGGCAACCTCTTTGACACGGAGGGGGCCTCCCAGGACCACGTGGTCAGGCACTTACGGAACTCTATAAACTGCCGCTCCCAAGAGGGGAGCGCGAGGTGAGGGGGCGCGGGAATTACAAACGTCCTGTGCGTCGGACCACATGTCCCGCCCCGCCCACTGCACATGTGGGGAAACTGAGGCCCAGGAAAATGGTAGATGCAAGGAGTTGAGGCTGAAGCTATTCGGGCTCCCCCGGTCCGCGACCCAGCGAACTGTAGAATCTGGCTCCGGGTACCCGTCAGATCGCCTGGGGAGGGAGCAGGATGGGCCGCGGCTTTCCGGATACTGCGTGCGGGCCACACACACAGCACCCGCGTGCTTACCTGGCCGCTCTGTTCCTTCACTTCCCGCGCTGCGCGAACGTAGCCCGCTTGCAGAAGATGCTGGTAGATCAAGGGAAGCAGCTCCCGCCGCTTCCTGGCCTCGGCCATGCCCACGACCACCCGCCCGTCAGCTCACCTGCACGCCCCCCCCAAGTCCCCGCCCGCCACTTCCCTCGTGCCCTTAGACCTCGCGCTCCCCACTTCCGGCTCCTCCTTCGCCCCAGCCGCACGGCACTCAGGGAAATGTAGTCTTTTATCCTTGAGCTTCTGTTCCGGTCCTTGTGGGTCAATGGGGCGGAGGCTCAGAGGGCAACAAGATCTGGAAGGGGAAATGGAAGGAATTTGACGCAGCCCCGCCCTCTGGTCCTGTCATACTTTTGAGTGACTGACTTCCTTTTGGAATCGTTTATTTAGTATTGTTCCATGAAGTGGTTTGTCTTCCCAGTTAGCTCTGTCACCGTCGTGACTGGATTTTATTCATATCTGAATGCCCTCATCTATCTTTTCTAGATTCAAACTTCCATTTAATCGATCATGGTTTTCACACGTTTTTTATGACCCACAGACAGTCCACCGGAGGCTATCTATTGTCATTAGTTTATTCACTCGTTCATTTATCAAGCGCCGTAAACTTGGGCTATGCTGGGGAATAAAAAGACGAATTAAGACATGGTGGCTTCCCTCAAAACTCAGCTAGAGACAGTTGATAACCAAGTGATTATAGTTTAATGCTTTAAACAAGGAGGAAGGGTATCTAACTCTGAAGAGCCGATTAAACTGAATCTTAAAGGTGGAGTAGGCATTTCTAGGTATAGAATATTGGCATTCCAAGCAGAGGGTAACTGATGAGTATAACCCCAGTCATCGAGTTGATTCAGACTCATAGTGACCCTATAGGACACAGTGGAACTGATCTATAGGGTTCCCGAAATTGTGAATATTTACAGAAGCAGACAGTTTTATCCTTCTTCCTTGCGGTTGCTGATGGATTTGAACCTCAGACCCTGCCCAACACTTATCCCACAGGGCTCCTACTCATGAGTACAAGCATGAGAAACCATTTGGTATAGGCTGGGAACCTAGAGCACATAACTTTATTCTGGGGCAGGGAGAGGGAACAACTGAGAACACATGAGAAGCAGACAAGGCCTACAAGGCCCTTTCCACCCCTAGCAGAGTTTAGACTTTGTTCCAAGGACACCAGACAGCCTCCAGTGGGTTTTATGCAAGAGAGTGACCTAGGTTTGCATTATGAAAAGATTGTTGTGACTATTGAATAGAGGATGAACTTTTGGGGAACAAAACTAGTGGCTGTCTGCTGTAGGGTTGAGGAATGTTGGCAAGGAAAGAGTGTGCTGGACAGGAAAATAATGAGTCAGCTGGCCTTAACTTCTTGAGCCCCTTAGAGAATCTGATTGACACCATGAATCACAGTTCTTGGTCCAGAAAATTTTGAATGTGTATAGATTCATCACATTTCCCACTCAGTTTTAGAAGACAGACAAGCACATATTTGAACTTCATAGAGTTAGGAAACCCTGCTCCAAGAAGAAACATGAACAAGACCTTGTGAAACAGTCTCTACCACTATAGAATTCATAGTCTAATGGGGGCAATGCATATTAAATTAAAAATTACACAAATACACTGTGACAAACAGTGGTAACAGTGGCAAGTGCAGAAAGAAAAAAGAGAATGTTTTCTGATGGAAAAGTATAGTGTTAAAAAGGTACATTGGAATCACACTTCCTGGATGTATGGAATTGCATTTCCTGGGTTCAAATCCAGTTGATTCCTACTCATAGCAACTCTGTATAGGGTTTCCAAGACCGTAAATCTTCTATAATGGGCAATTGATATAACATCTCTGTGTCTCTGTTTCTTCATTTGTAAAATGGAGATAATTATAATTTCTACCTTGTAAGGTTGTCATGAGGAGTAAATGAATACAGCTGCTGCTCCTTGGAAACCCTATACAGGGTCACTATGAGTCGGTACCAACTCGGTGGCACTTAACAGCAACAAGAAGCAGAAATGCTAAAAAGGGTGCCGAACTATAGGTAATGTGTGTGTTAGCTTTTATTGTGAAAGGAAGGAGAGAGCTAACTTTTGGGGAGGTGGGTTAGGGAAGGGTTCCTTGAGGAAATGGTGTTTGTAAGGAAATATGAACTATGTCTAAGGGAGGGTGGGGGAAGAACCTGCGCAAAGGGTCTGAGGCAGGAGGTACAACTGAGAGGAAAGGTGAAGGAAGGATTGTATAGTTTGGGGAGTGTAGAAGGCTGGTTCCATGTTAAGGATCAGTTGGACCACAAGGTCAGTTTGAACTGCAAGATCGGTGATTCAAATCCACCAGCCGCTCCTTGGAAACCCTATATAGGGTCACTATGAGTGGGAACAGACTCGATGGCACTTAACAACAGCAACAATGTTAAGGGTGACCAGTGTGAATACCCAGTGAGAAGTGAGTGTCCCAGTAGGTGTGGGAAGACTGGTTTAGTCTCGGAGTGCATCCAGAAGGGATATAATGGTGGCCAAAGTGAGGGATGAAGAGAAGCCCGTGGAAATGGAAAGCAGTGGAAGATTCCTAGCATTGTTCAGGAAGTAAAATCATCATGGGGATGGGTTGGAATGGGAGGGTGAAGGACAGGGAGCCAGGGTCCACAAACAGGTGGACAGTAACCTTCAGGCAGACAGCAATTTTAACCAATGTAGAAAAAACTAGAAGAAGACTGGTGTTGAGAGTGTTGAGTGAGGAGGGGTGGTGGAAAAAACACACAAAACCACCCCTACTGCCATTAAACTGATTCTAACTTCTAGTGACCCTATAGAACAGAATAGAACTGCCCCACAGGGTTTCTGAGACTATATATATTTACTGAAACAGACACAGCCTCATTTTTCTCCTGCAGTGTCTGATGGATTCAAATAGGTACTCTCTGATTAGCAGCCCATAGCTCAACTCACTGCATCAACAGAGTTCCTTAGATACTGAGTCAAACTAAAAAAAACTCACCGTCATCCAATTGATTCCAACTGATAGCAACTCTGTATAGGGTTTCTGAGGCTGTAAATCTTTACAGGAGCAGAAAGCCTCATCTTTTTCCCACAGAGTGGCTAGTAGGTTTGAACTGTCAACTTTGTGGTTAACAGTCCAGTACTTATCCCACAGCACCACCAGGATCCTTAGCTACTGAGTAGGCATGTGGAGACCTGGCTTTGGACTCAGCATAGAGGCCTGGGCTTGAAATGAAAATGGGATATTGTCCACAGAGGTTTATAATTGAGGGTGCAGCTAAGGACAAAATTGGCCTGGAACATGAGGCGAAAAGAGAAGAGAAGGTGGCCTAGAGTGGAGCTTTGATGCATGTCCTCAGGGTTGTTGTTGTTAAGTGCCGTGGAGTCGATTCCGATCCATAGTAACCCTGTATAGGGAGATCTGTGTAAAGGGAGAGATGAGTTAGGTTGGTGATTCAGTGGTAGAAGGCTCTTCCTTCCATGTGGGAGATCTAGGTTTAACTTGTGGCCAGTGTACCTCAGGCACAGCCATTACCTGTCTGTCAGTGGAGACCTGTGTGCTACTCTGATAGTGAACAGGTTTCCAGACTAAAGAGGAACAAGAAATAAAGGACTAACAGTTGATTTCCAGAAGTCAGCCAATGAAAGTATTATAGATTGCAATGGTTCCATCTGCAACGAATCACGGCATAGAACCAGGCAGAGTTTCCTTTTGCTGTGCATGGGGTTACCTTAAGTCAGGGGCCAAGTTAGTAGCTAACAACAGCATCAACAAAAGGGGGATTTGCTTGCAAAGACTGAGAGATAATGGTGGAGACAATCCAATGTTCTCAATTTCATGACAGGTGACCTTAAAGCCAGTCTCAGTAAAGCACATGAGTCAGTTCCAACTCGTGGTGATCACAGGTGTGTCAGAGTTGCATTGTGCTCTATAGAGCTGCAATGGCGGTTTTTAAGAAATAGATTACCAGGCATTTCTTCCATGTTAATCATTCATACTACCCAGGAACTCTGCTGGTGACCTTAGAGAATGCTCTTTCTGTGGAGTGATGGGAGTGAGGGTCAGATAGGAGCTGTAGTCTGATGAGTGGAGGAGAGATGAAAGAGGCAATGGGTCTTTTATTTGCATGTGTGTGCATGAAGGGGAGGAGAGAGAGATGTTGTGGTCAATGAGTCTGTTTTAATGTGGAAAGACCCATGTTTGTTTAAACTGATGGCAGATCAAGGGGATAGTTTAATCAAGGGCGTAAGAAACCAGGGAGATAATCAAGGCTCTAGCTTCACCATCATATGCGAGGGGATGGGACCAGGTGTGTAGGTGGAGGGTTGGTCTTGGAGAGGAGGAGAGCTGACTTCTGCAGAACCAAAAGAGGGAACAAAGAGAGGACGGTGCAGATGTAGATGTAGGTTTGCAGTGGGATGCTAAGGGAGATTTCGTCTTCAGCTTCTATTTTCTCTGCAAAGTGGGAGGCAAGGTCTTCTGCTGAGAGTGAAAAAGAGGTGGTGAGGAGTTTGAAGGAAGGAGGAGAATGATCCTTTAGAGAGTTGAGAAACAACTTGTGCACACAAAAAACAACAACACATAACTGCCTGGGACCGTTGTTAACCCAGTTGAGGCTGGTGGCCATTCATTTCTGTGAGTCCTGCTGTGTGATTTTCAGGAGCAGGCAACTGTAAGGTACTTACTTAGTGGGGTCTTCACAGACCTAGAGTTTTGCCAAATGAGTGGGGGGAAAAAAGGCATAGGGTCTAATGTTTTGACAAGTGAGATGCTGAATCTCTGGACTCTGGGACATAGACTGCGTAGGGAGGGAAGTGAAGGCAGATGGGGTCAAACTTCAGCATCATAATGGAAGACTATGTGGACTGGACTACTGAGGCCCATAATCAAAGCCTGAGGTCAGAGGGCTGATAGATTGGTGATGATGTCTAGCTTTCTGCTTGGGTGGCTCGATGGGTCAGTCTCTGAGATCACATACAAACTATTGTAGTAGTGAAGACCTTTAACATTCCCTAGAAGTCTATTTTCTCCCCCTTGGGGGAGAATAATCTCTGTTGAGAATGCATACCTTAGTGGAATGTAAACTCCCAGA